ACCTTCTCTTTATCCCACCCCCTTGGCCCCCTACCCTGCCCCCTCCCCTGCCCCCGAGCCTTGCCCCCACCACCCAACCCCGGACCCCTACCCCCTCGCCACCCCCACCACCCATCACCCATTACCACCAGGCACCCCCCACCACCCACACCAACTCACCGACCGCCACACACCATCAACCACACACCACCCACCACCCATCACTACCCAGAACCCGCCAGCCACCACTACTCACCTTCTTTATCACCCTTTTTTTATAATTTATCACCTTTTCCTTATCCTTATCACCTTTTCCATATCCTTATCACCTTTTTTATCACCTTTATCACCTTTTATCACCTTTCCTATCACCTGAAACACCTTCTTATCACCTTTCTTATCACCTTTATCACCTTTTATCACCTTTCTTATCACCTTTATCACCTTCTTATCACCTTTCTTATCACCTTTATCACCTTTTTATCACCTTTCGTATCACCTTTATCACCTTCTTATCATCTTTTGATTGCCACTATCATCTTTCTTATCACATCTTCAATGTTTTTTTATTACCCTTATCATTTCCCATGCCATCTTTATAGTATCTTAAATATCTTTTATGTCACTTCTGTATTATTACATCATATTTCTTCTCACATTGTTATGTTCTTATTATTGCCTATACCCTTCTGTGTACAACCGCTTTGTTATCTTTATCATGTTGCTTACACATCTACCGCATTTGTACTGCATGCATACTAGCTTCGCTACATATTTATATCCTCGGTGTGACACCTACAGATATCATATGTCGTGAAAACATGTTGTAAACTCGTCTTAGTGTTCCTAGCCCACTGGACAGGTACATCTTCATCTCGATGTTGTTCAAGACCAGGTCGCGCTTGCACGATTGCCTGGGCTTTGCACTGCACATGTTTCAGTCTAGATCAAGACATGTTTCGCTGCTGTGCACACTACACATTGGTAGCCGAGCGACTTTCGACCGAAGCCATTCCCTATCTGCTTTCCTTGTCGTCTGCCCTCGTATCCTACTTTGGCAACCATGGGTAAAAGCCAGAATCCCGAAGTTGTGAAGCGCACACTTCGGATTCAGAGGGCCGTCTTTCGCAAGAAGACCGAAACCCTCGCGGACATCTTGAATAAGCGGCGCCCGAAATGCAAAAAGGCCAAGGCCATTGTGCGGAAACTCGAGGCGGAGATCAAAGAACTGGGGGGGGAACTGTCTGATGAAGTTTCGTCCTGTAACTCGCTTCTCGGTGAAACCTCTTCCGAAAGTGAGAACAAGGACGAGAGTTCATCAGACAGTTCCAGTTCTAGCACGAACGCTGCGGACGAGGTGCCGGTTACAACGAAGAAGGCGGCTAAGGCCAAGCCGGCAGCAGCGAAGAACAAGGAGGAGGGTAAGCAGAGTGAAGGGAGTGGCAAGGGGCCACCCGAGGAGCTGGCGGAGGGGCCTTCTAAGAAGGTAACCCGACGTGGGAAGGACAGCTTCCCCGTGCTGGCTCCAGGTGATCCCGCACCTAATCACCGCGGTAAACCTGATGCCGACGGTGTTCTTTATCCTGGGTTTCCCGTAGGGCATCCCCAGCGGTGCGACACATGCGAAGTTCTTCGTCGTGGCTTTTCCCGAACGGGAAAGAAGCACAACGAGAACTGTCGCTGGCGCTCTCGTGGTGTTCGTCCTAAGGACAGCGCCAAGTGACGCTTGACAGTCGCACCGAGAAAAAACTGAGAGTGTTGTAATAGGTTTTGACACAACTGTCATGTGCGAGAAGTACACCATCGGAATCATGACAGGTACTGTCCTCGTGCTGGCCCAGAGTATGGGGCGACCGAGGCAAAGCAAGGCAACCCGCATTCAATCAGACAATGTAGCTGCAACCCTCAGCTACTCGAGTGTCTGAAATCGTGGGCTAGTGTAATGGGAAGAGCTGGGGTCTAAGATGTGACGGTTGGCATATTAAACCCTCTGTCGACCTGGCATGTTAGACCTTCCTTGTTCGCTTGCTGGAGGTATGCCGTTCAAGTCTGCTGTTGATTGAAATGTCTATGTCATGAATATGTATATGCGACAGGCATTATCACTAAGACTCATATGCTAAAGGCCGTACTGCCCATGTAATTTAGCGGGATCGTCAATGGGAACCCGTCAGATCATGGGGAATGGATGCGAAACGAGTGCGTGTTCCAAAAAACTCTGGGCGAGGTCCCGGTCCCGCGAGGCACACCGGAGAAACGAGGGTCCGAGAGGCAGGGTTTGTGGCATTGGCCGTAGTGGCTTAAATCCTAAACGAAGGTCCCAGAAGCAAGGTGCCGGCTGGACCTTCTTTGCCTTTGAACCGATTTCCGTTCGACGAATTGCGGGCGGTATGTGTCTTTGTTCTACACGCCGGGTGTGGTCGTGGCGAGGCCGACGATTTTCCGACTCCATCGAGAGCAGCACAATCGTAAACGGAGGCCACCTAAACTGCATGAATTCCCTCCGTCACCAGAGTTGGTATGGCATAGCAGTGCCATCGGATGAGTTTTGACCACATGACCATATGCAATGTCGCTTCATGGCTCAAGCTGGTCTGAGTGATACTATTTCACAAAGTCACCGCAACTCACCTGCAATATGTAATGTCAGATCATGTCACTCAATCAAATCAAGGTGGCAGTGGGCTGCTGTCTGAGCATGTAGCTATGCTAGCTTGTGCCCATTCTAAGGTCAATTCGATCTTTCAGCCCACCATTTGCCTTCGGACTGACGAATAGCTTTGATTTGCACTGTATGCTATGCAACTACGATGTTCGCATATACTCACCCGATCGCAACTCTCGACCGGACGTGCAGGAGGATGATTGCATTCTCGAAGTGCCCTTGGTTCGCTGACCCTGACTGGAAGCTGTACTGCACCGTGAGTATTGTTCCAACGGGTACTCTGCAGCATACATTCGGGTATATCTCCTGACCTAACGTGTGTCCGAGGTCATCATCCGATGACAGCTCGGAAGATGAGAACTACCGCAAGAAGCTCAAGGAGTGCTGTGTTTGCTGCAAGACAGACTGCGAACGACTGTGTGTGATTGCTTGGCCAAGGTCTCATCGATCAGGGGTGGCGCATCGTCAAGTACTGGGCTCAGAAGACCGTATCCAGACAGTGTCTGGTGTTGGCTTGCTTGCTGTGTATGCAACATATATGTATGCTGTGCATGTATGACAGCACAAGAGTCAAGGGTGAAGACGAAATTCCCCGTACCAGGACTACGGCGCATAAGTCAGCGAAAAGACTGTTGTGCTTCTGTCAGTTGTGCAGCAGGAAAACGCAAGGGCCGCAACTACGTCTGTGTCGCAGCGGCAAAGACCAGCACAGGGGAACATGAGTTGTGGCGTAGAACGTGTCAATCATGATTTGTTGCAACTGGCCTGCATTCTGTAAGGGAAGCTGGATGAGGACGGCCGTTGGACAAAAACTCTGCTACTGCCTCGGGTTTCAAACTATTTTGGCATTGTGCATATAATGCGCCTCTGAGGTGTGGCAAGACCAATGGTACGGTGCGTCCATACGTTGCATCAAGCGACAACATGTGGGTCTCTGAGTACCAAGCATGACGATACGAGTAGTAGTTCTTATCATGCATCGGACACGCTACGATGTGATCTAGGAGTCTCGCTGCTGCTTCCGGGTCCGAGACGGCCATCGACCCGTGATGGTCTCAGTTTCTGAGCAAGAAAGTACGAATGACAGATTTTACCACACCAACACGATGTGTCATCTGGTCTGCTTGGTCAGGCCAAATGTGACAAGTCCGCCGTCAGAAAGGGCAGCACGGACGCTCCTTGACATGGAGTGTGGAACTGAGTTCTTATCCTCCGTGAGGCTTTGTCGTAGCAAATGTTGCTGGCGTTATGTCTAATGATTAGTCTAATGGCCTTCTGAGGTGTGGCAGTACCAAAGGTACGGTGGTGCGTCCATATGTTCCGTCAAGCGACCAAACGTGGGTCTCTGAGTGTGCCACGTGACATTACGATTCATTAACTCTATAATCATGCGCCGGGCACGTTGCCATGTGATCTATATTAGGAACCTCGCTGCTGCCTCCGGGCCCGAGACTGCAATCGACCCGTGATGTCCTCAGTTAACAGCAGAAATAATTACGACCGTGACAGATTTTGTGCATACCTGTGAATATACCCAGACGATGTACCGTCTGGTTCATTGTGTTGAGGCAAGACCTGACAACTCCGCCGCCAGAAAGGGCAGTGCAAACGCCGGTCGACATGGAGTGTGGAGCTGAGTCATATTCCTGACCCCAAAGTCTCGGTTATGCACAAAAATTCTGTTTCAGGCACAAGTCCACGATGCCAGGGTCTTAATAGCACAAGTCATTGAATCAGTGCTGTCAAGCAGCGTTTGTCTGTTAATGCAGATAGCATATGTGCACTCGTGCGGTTAGGAGACAGCTTGCCAGAGCAGTCTTGGCCTGCCAGTACAAGCATGCAGCAACAAAACAGAGGCCCGATTCAGTCCAGTATCCATGGTACACGGTCTGCGTACAGTCGCCACGGTTCCGAGTGTAGTTCTTGTGTCTCGTGCGCTGTTTCTAGCTGGTACAGGTGTCTGGAAGATTTCCCCGCTGTTGACACCGTCGAGAAAAACGTCCACTGTCGCTTGCCAGCAAACTGGGGCTCCTGTCACTTTGCTTGTGTGCACGGTGGCCGTGTGTGAGGGATTTGGATCGGCTACTGCTGGAAACGGATCTCTACTGGGTCCGACCGAGTGTGTGGCATGGCTTTCAATGCTTCGCGACAACCTGTGCAAAGCTGAATGTTGCTTAATTCTTTGCAGTCGACTTGCTCGTCCACGAGATCTTCAATCGGGAAGTTGTTCGCAGCAGCTCGCAGGTCTCTGTCGCAGCAGAGACTCGCCGAACGTCCTTGATGTCTGAACATTTGCGCAGTGGAATACTTTTCAGCAGCACCTAAGGATTCGCCGAATTGGCGTCGTCTGCCAAGGCCTCGTTGGTACAGACTCTTCTATAGGGCAGGCCGGTCATAGGAGACTGCGCCATGCAATTCCTGGCCCACCGCAGCAACTGTGAACACGCAGACAGGCCGATGCCGAAAGCCTGCTCGGAAGCAGCCAGCCAAGGAGACCGGCGCCGCAGGCAAGGACATGCAATCACGTGCGTCCGAGTGCTGCTACACTCAAGTATATGTTATGCCAAATGCTTATCTTCTCATGAGGACACCTCTACACAGACACCTGTCTTGTGGACTGCCTGCGAGCCCACGGACTCAAAGTCCCTTATACGAGCCACGGTCCTTTCTGGGCCATCGCCGACGGATGCCGGTTCACCGAGCCGTTCGGGATGCTTGGTTTGCATCTACTTGCTACATGTACAGAACATCCTTCAAAAACATTAAGGAAAACGATCAGGCACGCGACACCAGCAGAGTTCAAGATGGGTGGATCGTATATCATGGGCCATTCGTGCCATTTCATCGCAATGCGGATGGACGTCGACGACGGGCTACAGGTGAACCTGACGCACAAGCGCCACCTCTGGCAGTCAGCTATTCTGGTACCTTACCTCCAGGCTCGGTGCCACTTCCTTTCTGGGCTTGTCACCCTCCTGGCCCTGTGCTTCCGCCGAAGGTTCCCATGCTCCTCTGTTCCCTCACTGGCCACATACTGGTCAACCCGGACAAAGCGCATGCCTTGTTCGCAATTGAGGCTCGCAGCCCGTCATGTGCGTGCGCAAACAGAGGCTTGCTATGTAGCCCAGGCCTGAAATCCGAACTTCAAGCCGTTGAGCAGCTTTGTGCAGGATCGCAGGAACATGGCCGCCCAGGAGCCATTGGACGTTAAGGGTGGCAGTGCCGGTCCCTTCACCCCGTTTCCGATTCTTGGATAAACTTATTGAGCATGCAATGCAATCTCCTGTGAAGCAATGGCAACTCACGTCCTAGCACTCACATTCCGTGCTTCAGGCATTACCCGCTTCCCTCACTCGACGACATTCCTGAGTTCAAGGCATTCAAGGACATATATCTATATTACAAGATATAGGAGGCGGTGCCCGGTGTCGCAATGTACGTTGCATCTTACGCAGGAGAGCAACGAGCAGCGCCGTTCCATCGTGACAGAGAATACTTCTCGGCAGAAGGCGTGAGTTCGTTGGCCCGCCGCAGTCTCTTCCAACTTGCTGCGGGGGCAGTGCCCTTTACTGAGGTGGCATCGTCCAGCGCCGGCGCGACGGCGAAGGAGACACCTGCACGTTTCACACACGAAGGAACAAGCTTCGAGGTGACAGCTGCCGGTTGATGGCATATACATACTGTTATAATCTGTTAATTAATTAATTATTCGTGCGAAGAGGAGCCTAGCGAACCTCTTTCAGATCTCCTTGATATTCTTCCTGGTGAGACATTTTGTGTTCCTCGGCTCGTGCCTAGCAGATAAGTGTTTCTGTGTTTTACGTCCTTTAGCTAAGGATATGCTGATGCGGGTGGCAGCCGCCGAGCGCCAGAAAGAACGGATGCCTCGGCACTTTGGGCAGTATCCGAACCCGGAGTGGCTGCCTCCCCATCTTGAGGCATGCCACAGACCCAGGGGTATGTTCGTAGCACGGCTTCGACCTGGAAAAGCAGGGTGTGGTGCTGACATCGCGACGGACGGAGCCTTCGCAATGCACTCCCAGCACCCGCTGCTTCAGACACTTGGGTTTGCCCAGAATACAACGCAGCACTTGGTGTACTGGGCTGAACGAAAGATAGTCTTTTGGGGAGCGAGTGCAGCAGAAGCTTGGAGCATCTGCCGCGACACCATGTTCTTTTCCAGGCCAGGGTACGCAAGTGTGTGATTTTTGTGCTTGTGTCCCGCCATGTGAAGTGTGAACCATCACGCAGGAATGGCATGCTCCCGGCTTCCCGCCATGGCCCCGGACCAAACAGATGGAACAGGCGGGCGTGGCCAAGCTATGCACAGCATCGCAAGTTAAAGTTGAAGGGGCTGTGCGCGGGCAAAGTCTCCTTTGCCATCATGCTGTGGCAGGCGAGGTGAGGTTGTCCCCTCCGCAAGCGGACCGTGGAAACGCAGGCCCCCGCAATTCTGACAGTTTTTTGGGGCTCATAAGTCGCGTGTCAGAGACTGTACTTCCGGCTGTGAGTATTATTTCTTCTGCCTGTGAGGTACAAGCAGGGCAGCCACGTGCCCGCAGCTCCAGATTCAAAGGATCATGATTATGTGGGAGGTTCAGCTCCCAGTGACTCACTTGCCCAGTGCATCAGCCACCGCATTGTGGTTGGGAGGATTCAAGATGTTCAGAGGGTCGTCAGAGCAAACATCCGGGAGTTCGTTACAAGCCCAGCTCTGTGGCTCCGCGTGCCAAACCCTTTCGACGTCGGCATTGATGCTCGTACTTGGAAGCACTACATGGATTGCGTGGAATTTGAGTCCGGTAAGATCACCCCCGATGATGACATCGACGCACAAAGACATCGAGACCTAAAGCGGCCAGATCAGCATTCTCTTTCCGATCTGGAGCGGGCCATAAAGCGTTTGGACGCTTGGACGAGGGTTATGCTTCGCCTGATTGAGCACGGGGAGATGGTGGACATAACTCTTATCCTGTCACCAGTTGACCCTCTCATCTCCAAGAGGGCTTGGGAGAGGCACTTGTGGAGCGTGCGCTGCAGGTTGGCAGTTCTGAGCGGGCCTGTTGTTCCAACACCGCAGCAAGAGCCTCCTCCCCATGATTATTCGGGTGGGAAGACAGTGGATGCGGCTGCTGCAGATCTTACCAGCTTCGTGAGGGATCTTCACTTCGATGACACAACGCATGATACAGCTTTCATGTTCGATGTGGAGCTTGATGACGATGCTTTCCTGCATCAGCCCCTTCCTTTGCGCCCCCTTCCACCAGATCCAGACAGCCAGGATGGCTTCATCAGGCGGCCAAGGGCAATCTTGGAGGAGCCCGAACAGGTTCAGCAAATAACTCTCGCCGGAGATGATTCTGATAGTGAAGAAGGCGTCTGGTATCCATCTTTCGATTTGTCGGATGGTGGTTACAACGATGTTGTATTGAATGCAGTGCAGCCTCAGGACGGACAGAAGCCCAGCACCGACTACGAAGGAGGAGGCTTGCTGGATGAACTGCTGGTTGATCTGCCAGGTTTTTACTTCTCCTTCGACTACCTCAGAAAGTTAGCATGCACCTGTACAAAGATGTTGCGTGCCGTTCAAGATCGTCGGCACTGGCGGGGCAGAAGAGTTTCAGTGAACACGGAGGAGTTTCAAGATCCGACCAAGTTGCGCTGGATGATGGAGTCATACTTGTGCGCGCACTTGGTCACGGTGAACATTCGCCAGCTTGCCATGTTCCATGTCTTTCCTCGCAATGTCATGCTGGAGTGGACTGCGAGAGGTGTTGTTGGAGGACCTGGACCTGCAGCCTGCCGACATATGGCCGGCTTCGAGTCATCTGGCCCACTCATGGGCGCTGCCGTATTCGATGTTGTGCTGCCTTGCAAGGTCGTAGGCATGTACATTGGTGTACGTGACTGGTGTGATTTGAACAGACGCAGACAGGCGTACTGCAGGCTCGACAATGTCTTTCTGGATAACGCCATGGCTTCCTTTGGACTAGCTGACCTTCCGCCGCAGCCGCATGTCAGCCGCAGACCTGTTCGCTTGCAACCCAACCGTGTTCACCGCTTCAGTGTCCGCTGGCACGCGAGGCTTTTCGAGATCATGTTGGACGGCGTTCACATTGCAACAGCCAGGGCTCGGGAAGGAGCGCCGCCTGCTCCACGGGCTTTATCCAGGCTGTTTGTCTGGGCTTTTGCTCGTCCCACTCCGGACCTCGTCAGCATGGTTCAATTTCGCCCAATACGTTCACCAGTGGAAATGACAGCTACAATCACATGTGTCATCTGCAACAGAGACTTCGGGCTGGGCATGCCTCGCTGGTGCGTGTGTCCGCGTTGCGACACATGGGTTTGTGCGGCTCACGCTGGACAGCAGCCTGAGCGCTTATGTTCTCGGTGTCCGAACCTTTTGCTCGACTATGTCGGCGGAAGTTGCAGAGATGAGAAGCCGTATCCCAACGCAGGAGGATCGACAACATCCACTGCGATGACACCAGAACAGTGGTTGCGCCTCACTTTGCACCGACAGGAGGCTCTTCGCCGACGTCGAGGCAGCAGCAAGGGATATGTCCAGCTTGAGTCTGAGTTCAACCGAATTTGGCAGGCGTCCATGAGTCCCTTGTGCTGTCCCACGTACGGGCGCGGAACCTCGCAAATTCGACTTCCCCTACCGGCGAGAACCCCGTTGACGCTGCCTGTTTTAGAAGACTGCCCGACGAACTTTCTGGAATTTACCATTCCTTCTGTGGATTGTGATCTTCTGCGTCTGGCACATAAACACCCAAGAGACGACTCAATACGTTTCGTGGAGGAGACGCACACGTATTATTTGCGAGAGTGCAGGATTCCATTGTCTGTGACGGGCCTAGTGCATAATTTCGCGGCAGAGTTTGATGCTGACAAGGCGATTCAGTGCATGATGCAGAGCAGACGGTGGCCTCGACCAGAATATTCTGTCGAGCATGGCGGCCTCCTGATTCCAATGAGCCCGCCCCAAATAAAGGACCTTTGGAAAGCAAATGCAACTGAGGCTGCTGCCAGGGGCACATGGTTGCATCTTCAGTTGGAGGTTCTTCTCAATGGAGGCAAAGTCCATGAGAACAAGGTGGAGCTGCAACTCTTTTCAACGTTTCTTCAGCAGATGCCAAAGCTAATTGCTTTCCGCTCTGAATGGTGTGTCTACGGCGAGGAAGAAAAGCTGGCTGGGTGCATAGACTTCGTGGCACAAACACCTTCGTCGGATGTTATCCTTTTCGACTGGAAGCGCACAAAGCAGCTACGCAGGAAGTATGTGTCTCTGTGGTCCACCATGAAACAACCTCTTTCTCATCTGGACGACTGTGCCGGCATACATTATCGCTTGCAATTGAACTTGTACAAGTACCTAATCGAGAAGTACTATGGCTTGCGTGTTGCTGCTATGTACGTTGTTTGCCTTCATCCCGACAACCAGGAAGAGGGTCCTTTCATTGATTGCGTGCCAGACATGCCGTCAGAGGTAGACGCGATTCTGGAGGTTCGCCGGCTGAAGCTTGCAGGCCAGAGCTGCGATTACATCGGTGGATCCTCAGGTTCAGGTCAGCTACCTCAGGCAGACGCAGCAGACGGAGATTCTTCCCAGCTTGATTCGGCGATGCCAAACATCGGTGAAGATCCTGAAAATGACCACCGGCCATCTGAAGAAATGGACGAGCAGTTGGACAGGGCCTCTCTTTCTGCCCTTACGCAAGATTTGCAGGCTGCCATAGATGCGGTCGAGTGGGACGAAAGTAGCCGCACGGTGTTGTCCAAGGCCAGAAAGAGGAGTGCATTGCCTGGCGCCGCCAGTACAATGTCCAGATTTGAAAGTACTTTCAACTCTCAGCTGCAACGTGCGAGGGAGTCTCTGGAGACGGCCATTCCATCCAACCGCAACGAAGAGAACAACATTCTTCAGCAGACTGCTACCATCCGGCGCAACGTGATTGCGCAGGCCGGAGAGGTCCCAGAGGACCTACTGAGAGTAATTGTCGCAGCGACAGTGGTCTATCGGATGCGGCTGAGTGATATGCATGTCCGAGAGCAAGTCTTGCTGCTCTGGGTCATAGAAGGTGAGGTTCATATGAGATGTCACGGAGGCGACCTTTACTTTTACCGCGGTGGTGCCTTCACTTTGCACCGTGGCATTCCACCGCAGGAGACCTTGGCAAGGTGCAAGCGTTACATGTTGTATCTTGAAGGCTTGTTTCGTCTGCTACCAGGCCCGAGCCCGAAGACAGATGCTGAGGTCCTAAGTGCCGTGATGAATCTGTACGTGGAGCACAATCGAAACTCTCGAGAGTTCTTGAGTGCATGCGAGGATGCTGCTCGCGTTGCCGTCGTTAGTCGTTCTCGCTCTAGCCGCCGTCTTGGGGAGGAGGATGCAGCCCCGGAGGTGCATGACTGTTCGCTGGCAGATGCTATTTCCAAGGTCGGCTTAACCATGCAGCGGCATCTACTTGATGACAAGATTTTCAGTCTAGTGGTGGAGTGGTGCGACACACCGCTAACCCGTGCGTCAGGATGCTCGTACCAGGACTGCACAGTGCTCTACGATTGCAGTCAGGACAGTTATGTCAACTTTGTCAGCGACAGCCCGAAGAATAATATCTACACGCACATCCCACACCCACTACGCGATCCAGTGCTGGAAGAAGCTTTGCAACGAACGCTTGCGTTCTACTCCGAAACCTTCTGGCTGAACAATGATGCAGCTTGGTCTTATGGTGCTGAGTCCATGGGTCTGTTCAGTTTTCTCCGAGTCACACGTCCTCCAGCAATACGACATCCCAGGTCTTTCGCTGCAACCAGGCGGCCATTGCGCTCGCCAAACGAGGCGAGAACGTAGTGCGATGTTTCATTGGCATCAGTCCAGGAGGCCAGACATGCTCTCTTGGAGTAGCATGTTCTCGTCAAACATGTAAGCGCCATCATTGTTGATTCGTCGAGTGCGAGTGACAAAGAAGCACCATCAGTGTTGCACAGGTGTGGGGCAAAGCCTGTACTCCAGCCATCTCGATGCGGTTTACGCTTCCAACCACAAATTCATCGACCCAAACATATGGTTTGATGAGACCGAGATGAGGAAACAGGTCGAACAAGCTGCCGGGTGTTTTATTCTCACGGCGCAAGAAGCGCCCGAAACGAACAGGCGCATGAGAGAAGATCTCTACAAGAAGACTATGTCGGCTGACGGCATTGCAGGCAGACGACCTTATGGAATTATCACCCGCATGATAGAGCTTGTTGCATGGAAGAGGTATGAGCTGAACCGACTCATGAGATTTGTGGGGGTAACAGAAAAGAATTTCGATTCCATCTTCAGACGATCCTGTGTCTGGTTGCCGCAAGCTCGTTTCATTGAGGAGACCATCATCAAGAACAAGTTCACCGATGCCAATACGGCCGGCTACTTTCGCAAAGACGATTCCCTGAAGAAATTCCTTTCTAGCGGACCCTGTATTGCAGCAGCATTGCGGTTACAGCGTGGCTTCGAAGTGCAGCACTCTCGTGAGATGTGCAAGGATCTGATCGAAGCATATGCCAATCAGCCGCTAACCGAGGACGCAATGAGGGAAGCGTGCGGTCTGCCTCGCAAACATCGGTCGGGGCCGGACGGTGAACTCACCATTCCTGTGGATTCTTCTAGCCAGGAGAGTAAGAAAGATACCGACCAGCAGTTTGTCAATGTGGCTGAAGCCATCCGGGAGGAATGTCTGCAAAAGGGCAAGACAATATTCACGAAGGGTATGTTCAAGTACCTGAAGCTGCCGACCGAGCACCCAACTGACATGACAAGGGATGCTATATGGGAAGTCCTACTTTCGCGCAAGTTGGTAATGGCCGCCAACCTGGACAACTCCAAGTACAAGGATGGCGTGATGCCTTTCATTCAGGTTCCGGTCAAGCTGGCCACTTTCGTGAACACAAGCCCTGGGTCGGATGTGACACATTCGGAAGTGCATGATGTGGCATCTCTATTGAAGTATGCCAATGGTTGTCCTGACAGAGAAGCCAACGTTTGTCAAGTTCTTGAGTATCTGGACAAGTCAATAGCCAGGCTTAAGAAGCGAGGCAAGCAGTCCGCCACTGCCATTGAGAAGATGGCCAACCTGGAGAAGATGAGAAAGAAGTTGGTCGCGTCCGAAAGGATGCTAGAAAGTCTTTTGCGTGACCAGCGTGCTCAGTCACATGAAGCTCCGGAAGGTAAAAGGAGAAGGATAGCCTGCAAGACATCTGCCTGTGTTGTTAATGCAGCAAGGGTGGAGCAGACGTTTCGGTATCGACGCAACTTCCAGGACCTCATTCGCACCAGAGCATATGTGGAAGGCGATGGTGCTCAGAAGTGCTCTCGAAGGATTCTGCAGATACTTTGTGCTGATACGCATGATCTCGACATCTCCAATTCCGTCTTCGTCATTATGCATCAGTTGTTCGAACGGCTGGACATGAAGAAGGTAATGCCAGCACATCTTTGGGAAGTTCTGAGAAAGGTAGCTACAAATCGAAGCGGTGTCTGCAACGAATTGGGGCTGACTGTCAAAGAAGGCAAGGAGGTGCTTCACTCGTGCCTTTTCGGTGCCAATACTCCTGTAAGCCTTGGCACCAACGAGTTTATGCAATCATTCCAGCGGATGGCGCTCTTCATGCGCTGGACGGCGTGCTCGCTGCTTCCCGATGTGTATGAACTTGTGAGGACTATGAAAGAAAAGCGAAATCCTGATGCATCGGTGTTATTCTATTTGTATGCGCTGGTGGAAGACACTGTTCTACAGGCATGGGAAGACCATCTGGTGCGCCAATTTAGCCCGAAACATATCTCCCTGCACTTCGACGGGCTACGGATCGACGCGTCGTGCTTATCTGGAACACCGTTGGGAGTCCATGGTGCAGAAACGGAAAAGGAGATCTTGAAAAGAACAGGGTTCAAGGTGACTGTTGTCGAGAAGCAGCACAAATACTTCATGGAGTTATGCAGGCAATATGGAGCCGCAAGGGACGATGAGGCTTTGCACGATGCTAAGTATGCGTGTCTGCGAAAAGATGGCAACTGTATTCTTCGGGCAGTGGCCCAGCTGTTTCCAGGGAAGGCGGCGCAAGTTCTGGAATACGTACAGGAGTCCAGTGCTGCCAACAGCCAAGCTGCATCGCATGGATCGAGATGCTACAACGATGTGCTGACAGCACTGGGCATACACGCGGTGCCTCACCTGGGCTTCTCCATTACGGAGCAGGGTAAATACCTCGTGCACACAGAACATACAGGGCGACCTCATTGCGTGTCCGTTGACGTGGCGTTGACAGACGGTGATGTCCTGTCTGCCGAAGTGGGTGGTTGTACTGAGACGCTGGACATGCCGCTGACCAAGCTACAGGATGCATCTCAAAATGCGATGGACTCTAGTTCCATTGTGACTTTCCGGCTGTTTGACCAACGTGGAGACGTGAACTGGCCAGCTGACGATTTACAGGCGAACTTGGAATTGCTGCTTCTGCTGCATGCAGGGGCAGGCGCGGAGAGCTCTGATGATATTTGGGTTCAGGATGCAGCGGCTGTTTTGCAATGCAGCAACAACGAATCAGACGATGAATGCCCTGGTTCTTTGCCGACGGCAGATGACGAAGACATCGTTTCTGTCTCGAGTAGGTTGTACAAACTACTGCAAGAAGAAGTGCATCAAGCGAAACAAAGCCATTCTGCAGACAAGCGTTGCCCGCTGTGTCCATTCCGAAAATTTTCCAGACGGGACAGGCTGCTGGCTCATATCAAGACATATCACGTGCCAGAGAGACACTTTGTGTGTTCCGGGACCAAACAACTCAAGGTCGTTTGTGCTCTCTTCGACCAGGATCAGCTCAACAGAAATTCCGGTTCGGATTACTTGAAGAGAAGTGCTGAGATTATGTTCCACAGTATTGTCCCCAAGCTCAACTGCTGCGTGAACGACACTTGTCTCTCAGTTTATTGCTTTAGTTTTCCATGCGCTTCTCGATTGCTTCTGGAGCATTATAGAATCATTAGAGATAGCATATGACTTTTTTCTGTGCGAGTTGGAGAAATCAGGAAGTGGATCGCTATATCCGTCTCGTCCTTACAGAAACAGGGCCAATGTTTCAGAACATTGATGGGCTGGGAGACAGGCGCCTAAGGAGAGTCAGAAACCTTTATGTGACTCGTGGATTTGCTGATTTGGTGTATCAGGAGGCACTGCTATGCAACGGAAAGTGCAAATCATTGCGTTCTCGAGTATCTTACATTCTTTCCCAGCGCGGTTGCACTCTTACGTCGCTCTTGCCGACAGACGTAAGACACTGGTGGCCACTCATCGAGGACGTGTTCAACTCCCCGCAAGTCAAGCAGTTGCATGATGGTATAACCCATTTCCTCTGCTCTCGCGACGAGTACAAGTACATATCCATTGATGCAACGATAAACTGTTGTGTCTCCATACTGGGACAGGCGTCATGGCGCAGCAACGTTGTAACAAGAAATGAGGCACCGTTTGATGATGTTTCAGCTGTCCGCCGAGTTCTTACCGTGCGAGGCCGTACCGGTGCCGTGCTGGGCATGTTTGCAATAGCGTCGGAGAAAGCAGAGGAAGTGGCAATGGCACTTGGAGCCAATCTTCCCTCGGAAGGCCTCCGGCAGGTCAGGATGGTTGCAGCGGACAATGCATCGAGAAAACTATATCTACATCTTCGGCGAATAATGCCTGGTCTGGAAAGTCTTTGCCTGGATCCTATTCACTTGGCAATCACCTATGAGTGTCCTGCCGTTAGTGTTTGGTTGCCTTTCTCGACAACTAGTTCCTAAAGTCACACACCGCAACTTCTCGGCTAAGGTATGCGACATGGCGAAAGAAGACAGCAGACGCAGTCTTCCTCAGGAAAGTCCTCAAGAAGCTGATCGTGGTAGACGCAAACAAGTCGGAAGGTTCATGGGGCGTCTACTTTCGTGGGTATGAAGACAGGCCTTTATCCATGTTGGAATCTCGAAGACGAGATTTAATCACTTCGGGTACAATGCTGGCGCCAAAAGCTAAGAGAATTGTGGACAGTCTCGACAGTGCAGTACCATTTGGCTGCAGACTGGAATTCATCGAAGCGTTGGCTGCACTCGCAGCGGTCTTCCGACTTGATATGGCACGAAAAGTCACCGGTGCCAATGTACCACTTCATCAGGTTCTGAAATGTGCTTGTGCGCCTGATCGACTGGAGTGGCTTTTCAACAACCTCCGATGGCGACATTCGCTGCGTCCTGGACTTACTGCTACTGTCTGTGGCATTGCCATATGCTGGCATTCACTCACTGAACTTAATACCAGTAAGCTGAATGTTTGAGGTCCATCGGAGAGAACGCTTCTCCCGTCTGGCACAAGCTCTAATGAGGCGTTGCACAGTGAGGTGAAGAGTTGGTTCAAGCAGACACAGCAAATGCATCAAAGCACGCTGCAGCTAAAGCTGCGGGTGTTAACCTTAGGCAAAGTTTTGCCTCATTATGGTGCTTTGCGATATCCGACTCTCAGTCAGATGAGTAGTGGTCTCGTGCTGGCTCGGATCGTCACTGCATCCGTGTGGACAGATGACACATGGAAGCAGTGGTGTCACAGTACGGAGAAAGCCGACCTTCCACTGCAGCGTGACAGATTGGAAGAGGTCAAAAAGGTCAGCGACTGGGTTTCCAAGAAACCCGCAGGACGCAATGGCCTCAAACGAAAGCGTACAGTTTTCACTATGGAGCGTTCTCATAAAATCAGACGACAGGGCGTGAAGCGATGCGCAATCAGCATGGCCTGAGGCAACCTCAATGCTCGACCACGCGGCATTCGGTGCAAAAGTCGCTCTGCGAAGCTGCTGGAGCATGTTCATTCTCATGTGAAGCTGCTGGAGCACGTTCCTTCTGACGTAGATGGACAGCAACTACTTGTTTGGTGTGCTCGGCAGGGCCTCCACGTCCGCAGTGTCATCGAGATGCGGAAGGTTTGCACGGACCGGTAGGTTAGGGAAGAAGTGGCCGCGGATTTGGCTGTCAGTCTCGGACAGCACTGTGTGAGCGATAACACGGTCAGTATCAGTTCTCCCCATGATTTTGCGTTCTACATCCAGTGACTGAACAACACAGCCGTTGCACATATTCTCGCTTAGTACACTGACTGTGCTGCTGTTATGTCTGCATCATGTGCGAGCACAGCCACCTGAACAAAACGCAAAGTCGAATTGCAAACAATGTGGTCCGTACATTACGTGGACTGAACAGCACAGGTCGTGAATCTCGCAGATAAACCTGGCTTATTCTGGGCGCAGACACGGTGCTGCGCAGCGAGCTAACATAATCAGGGTTGGATTTCTTCCTTTCTGTAGCCCCTGGCTGCACATCATAGGAAGCACATAGTCTCTGCACAGTTCTCGCCCGGTATGCTGTGCGTAACATGGTTCTATGAAGTTCTATGTGTTACATGTTAGGGCGTTCGCAAATGCTGATCCCAAACAATGTGTTCCGAATCAAGCCTGCAAAATGCTGTCGTCCTGATGGAAGGCTTTCCAGCCACTGACTGAGCGCCACAACCAGTACATGTTCTCCTTGAACATGGTATGTGGGCTATCATGCGAGGATATTTGCCAGCGTGTGTGTGTGTGTGGGTGCGTACTGTATGCTCTCACGTAAGACCTTCCTGTAATATAGCACAAGGGACATGTCACATTATACGTAAAGGTTCCTGCCACATACATATATACATACATACATATATACATACATACATATATACATATATACATATATACATATATACATATATACATATACATATATATATATATTTATGACAGAAGCTCCTCTAGGGTCTTGTTTACGGCCTAATTAAGTTAGTTTTGCAGCAGTTTTTTGCCTCTTGCATGGCTGAATACATTTGCTTGCCTCCTGCGTGGCTGAGTACACGAAGCGGGGCAGTAGGTCAGATAGTATGGTAAATTCGTCCTCTTTCAGGTGTGGCATACCGATATTCAGTTGCCCATGCACACACAGCTCAATGCACCACAAGGACAATTGTTGCAAGTATAATTAAATCAGCAAAATGCCGAGGATCATTGCACTCATTATCAATTCCATATTGCGGCTAACTTGACCCATACTCCCCTCTCAGTCCGACCACACTCCAACTCAGTTCAGGATCCACAAGAGCAGTCAAAGAGCGCAGAGTGATTCAATCTCCACAGCCAATACGGGCGACTCTTGCAGCGTGGCATGCTGAAGCACCAAAGCAGCAGAGGTCAAGTTAGCAGAGGTAACTCCAGCAAGAATAAAGGTGCAGCGCAACTTCGAAGCACACCCCGTACTAGGTACACGAGTTGTTGCAAGTCGTCGTGGGGTTGTAAGTCAATCCACGCCAACCCTTCTTCCTTCCTTCAATTGCCACAGTGTCTCCCCCATGTATTCTATAAGAACTTTCTCATGTCTATCCAGCAATCCGCATTCTGCTGGTAGGCCTATTTCTAAACCAGCACGGCCTTATCTGCCACCGCCACCTGTGATTCCTGCGATGGGGTTCCATAAAGGAAGGTTGCGGGGCAGAGTGCGTAGGGTCTAGAAGTGCAGGGTGGGAAGCCTCAGGATGCACTTCAGGAAAGGGAAGTTGAAGGATGTTGAGGCTGCAATGCAAGCACTGAGTGGGCTCGAGCTTTATGCGCCTCACCTTGAGGCTTGAGGTGCCCTTTCTACTGTGCATCCTAGCACTGGGCCGCGACTGGAACGACATTCGATATTAGCACGCCTGCTTGCCTTGTTAAGGCTGTGGACTGTGGACTGAGTCACGGGCGACAGTATGTGTTATGAAGCAACAGCTGAGGGTCTTGCTTCGGATTCTGCCTCTTTGTGGAATGCTTCAATTCGCGCAGGGGTACAGGTTGCCTTCGAAATATTGTTCCCACGCCTCAGGCGGGTCGTACCAGTTGGACGTGTCACCTTCGTCACCTGAGCTGCAATCGCTTTGTGTACTTCCAGGATTTTATAGGTAATGGACATGGGACTCTGCAACGTACGCGTCGTAATTCGCACTAATCTGCCAGCCTCGACAAAACAAGCAATGAGGACCATTGCTTGTCATATTTTTGAAACAGCAAATGCGATTTTTGTGGCCCCCTGGAATCTGCAGCAGCGTATCAAACAATCCCAAACGGGGGTCACCGCATCCAGCGTCTATTGATATCACACGAGACGAACTCATCAAACAAGCGGAAGAAAAGAAACAACCCCAGACCAGGTCACGGCAGCCAGGGAAACAAGTGGGGGGAGACCAATGGGAGCCTGACATTTCTGGCGAGGTATGCAAGGCGAATGTTTCCATGACGAGACCCGACGATTGGGGGAAAGGTTGCAACATCTGCCTCGCTGAGATTGCGGGCACTTTATCTATCAGAGGCAGATATTTTCAAAGCGATATCCGGCCATTCTGCCTTGCTGAAGCGTATAGAACACTATCAAAGGTAGATAGATGATTTCGTGGAGACAACCGTCGATTGAAGTGCTACAGGTCATTTTGTTGAGAAAAGGCTCTTTAAAATGATCAGCCCACTCGAATCGGAAGTGGCGATAAGAACTATAACAGTGGGAAAAACAAAGCGTGTTTGCTATAACATGGCCCGCATGGGGTGCCCGAGCCAACCGTCGACATTCCCAACCAGGCCCCATAACACATCCTAATTCAGAGGCGCGTTGCAGATTAGGTGCGCTGAGGTGGTTCGAGGGCTTCCCAAACCCTTCCGTATTGTTCGGGGATTTTCGGTGGCTGGGTGATGCACATGTTCGAGGATAGGACAAGACCCAAACCATACACTGTGTAAGAATCATACAGGGGTGCGCGGTGGTTACCCAGACGTGGTTTGGGCCCTCCTCCAGGGACGTAGGTTGTTTATGCTGATGTGGTTTGGCACGGGTGTTGATTATGCCGAAATTATGCTTAGTGCAGGTTGGTCGCACTGATGTGGTTTGGCGTGCCAAACCCCTTTTCGGCGTGCAGATTGACTCACGGATGCAGGTTGATTACGCTCATGTGGAGCCTCCATATGGTTACACTCATGTGGGGCCCCCCGTTCACAGGGGTGCAGGGTGATTACGCTGATGTAGTTTGCTCTACTTCCAGGAGTGCAGCTTCGGCGGTTTGGGAGACAAATGGGAAATGAATGGGAGACAACAATCCCAGAAGCGCATCACAGCGTCCAGCGTGGAGACGAAACAACTTCTTAAACCAAGTGTAGGGTAAGTGTCGTTATATCCAAGAAGTGCGTCACAAAAACCCTTTCAGTTCTTGGAACACTTGGGAACCCGCCAGCTGCAGCTGTATTTGGGGAGTGAACTCTTCATGAAAGCATTGACTGCCATTCGGCTGCCATCTTGCTTGGCAGAACATGGACACACCATTTGCAGTTGCCGTGCCTGCTGGCATCGACAGGGCCGCCGCCTCACAGAGGGTGTGAGGTGCGGCAGGACTCATGGATGGAAAGGCAGGCCTGCATGAGCAGGTTTATGCGAACGGCCTTGTAAGCAATTCATGTGTGCAGCTTTGACACGGAGAATTGACATCGCGCAATCGTGCGATCCGCCTTTGGGAGTTCAGTCACGTACATCCCGAAGATCTGACAGAAAAGCGGGAGTCAATGCAGGCAGCAGCTTCAGTAGGTGGCGGTTTACGAGCATAAACACAAGAGAACACCCCCTCTGATGCGCCTTGATGGGCGGCAACACCATCGCCACCACGCTGCGCAGCCCGGGAAACAAGCGACTACTAGACTACTCTTGAAGACTTGAAACGTACAATGGCTTGCACATGGCAGGGTGTGAGGGTCAAATGCTGCCTGGCCATCTGTGGTTGGATGAAACCCCCTAGGCCTCGGTCGCAGGATGTCGCAGGCATCAGAGCATCAGAAGTTCCACAAGGTCCCCTAAGGATCTGCGGGCCCAGAGGCCCCACCCCCACCCCCCGGCCCGAGAACCCCCAAGCCGATCCAACCTCGCGCTAGCATACCAACCCAAACCTTCACCCCGACGGCGGTCGATGCGAAGCAGTTGCTGGTTGCAGTGAAGTCAGATGATCATCTGAGCATGCGTTCAATGCATGAAATACGTGATGCGGCCTCTTGGGACAGGTGGGCAGTGGAGTTCAGAAAAAGCTACTGGCCACAACCCCTTGCGTTTAGGGCGTTACAGCTTTTTCAATCCCCTCAGAAGAGCTTCACCTTCAGAATGCAGTTTCAAACATGCCTAGCGCCATGCTAGCGATTGTCCTAGCGCCAACATGGGTGATTCGTGGTTGAATTTGCATGCCGCCTCGTAGTGAAGAGCAAAGAGAGGCTCCCCAAACACACTCATGTCAATCTGACTAACCCCGCAGACAAGCGACTTTCGAACGCAACCTTTTGTGATTCATGTGAATTTAAAGCACAAGAAGCCCCCGAAGTCTTATCGTATCTACATCTTGCGACGGCTGCAGCCCGCATCGCTTTAAAGGAGTCCTTTGCCGTCAGCAAGGACACAGGAATCTGCTAACACGTCAAAACCGAAGGCCAAGATCGGACGCAAACTCACTGTCTTCCGTTTGAAGGGAATTGGTCCCGACTTCATCGGCTCCTGTCCCTGTAGCATCCCGAGGATGGCTACCTGTGTTGACTGCAAAGGCCCTTGGTGAGACTTGTTTGTCACACCTGGACACCTGGACCGTGAGCGATGCGACTAGTTCTTGATTGTTCTCCCAGGCTCGGTGAAGCCACAGCTTGTGGATCCTTGAAGCGACGAAACCGGGAAAGAGTGAGAACCCCTCAGGAACACACACGATGCCACAGTGATGCTAGCAGCATGAAAGATGAGCCGACTGGAAACCACATAGAGTTCTGGAAGTGTCTCTCGTCTAGCAGCCTGGTTCTCCAAAATACTGACTGCATCTGGCACCAGCAGCCGCATCTGCGAAATATGCACATGATCTGGCCATGCAATCTGGCCCTCCGACACTGCATGCTGTGCGGAGTCAAGCTATAGCAGGCAGGAGATGCCGGTTGCACAGGAAGAGACACTACGTCCAGCACTTCATGGAAGTCCGAAACCTTCACTTTTGGCGATGGCCTGAAGCAGCATCTTTGGAAGCATATCTGTTGTCAAAACACATGGAGATGTCTTGGGTGCGAACCAGAAACAGCCTTAGCTGCGGCGTGGCTCGATGACACATCGGATTGTGGACAGCAACACAGGACATGGCACTAAGGTGTCCGATCTGTCACGCAGGCACGCAACCCACAACTTCTCCTTGGTCGAGAATCGCGGAAGCAGCAACTCGCCTGGTCGAGAAACCGAAACTCCGCCACAAAGAATGCCCTGCGGTTTTGACTGCTGGAAAGGTGCTGGATGCTCAGACTCCACTGCGCAGTAGCTCCTGGCCACAGGTGTCAGACTTGTACTTTGGAAAGCCCACCGCTTGTTGGAGCAGAGTGCCAGGTACAGATGACTCACAATACCCATTGACAGCGAGCCCGAGTGCGCCACTGAAGCAAGTGTAGCAGCGAGCACTCGTCACCAACGCCATGCTTTTGCACGACAAGACCTGCCAAGACAAGCTCGGAGCAAGGCTCTGCACTTCTTGGCTTCGGAGCGAAAGCAACGAACTAAAGACTGCCATCCTTTCAATGGCACCCGCTGGCTCAGAAAACAAAGTGCCACCACAAGGCCACAGGCAATGGTCGGGACACTTAAAGCTGCACATAGAGGCCACTCAAGCACCCCTTGCCATGATGAAAAGACACTCGGCCTTTTCTGCGGGACTGACACTGGCCAGCATCTAATCGGGGTTTTGGGCAGTCATCAATGCAACAATTTCGTAGGCATGCACAAAACCTCACGGTATTTCTCCGTGGGAAACATACACATATAGATATCTGCACAAATACATGTATACATTTACACTTATAGGCATGTATGCATACGCAGAAGCGTACACGCTTTTACACACATACGTACTTACATACAGGCAGACAGACAGACAGACAGACAGACAGTCAGACAATTAGACAGACAGACGAACAGACAAACAGACACACATACAGACATACAGACGCACAGACACACAGACAAACAGACGACTGCCAATATTTGGCTCAAGTGCCTTTGCTTACTAGCCGTGCCAAGTGTAAGCGGTAGTACCGCAGCAGTAGCTTGTAGATTTGAAGAGTTGCTGCTATGCGGTCGTTGCCGTCCACGCGGGCCCGCTTCGAGAACTGGGACGCGAGCTAAACCTTGCAAAGCCGAAAACGCTTGGCTGTCCGTGTTTGCTTGTTGCAATACGGGCATAGCCATAGGAGGCTGTTCTGGGAAATCGCTCCTCCAGGTTCCCCAGCGGCCCACTGTGGCGCGAGCTTGTGCTCGTCCAGCCCGGTCCGACTCAGGACGCGTGGACTTTGGTCCACGCGGTGCCGCCCTCTCGGCCTGTCCCACGATGTCTAAGGAGGTGTCGGGTGAGCCTGAGGGCAGGCCGTTGAGCGCGAGCACGGTGCCGTACCCTGAGAAGATTAGGTACATGGCATGGTTGCGGTGGAGACGTGAGACAGGTTCCCGTCCACTCAAAAAAAGTCGGATCTCCACCGCACCTACACCTGAGGAAGAGGCCGCTCTGTCACCAGCTGTCATGTCGTTTTTCGCTCCCTCTGCCAAGGTGCCGGTAGGGAAGAAAGCTGATTCCCGAAGGCGGGTGCCCCTGCCAGGGATGGGTTTGTTGCCTCGGCCAAGGCTGGCGCGACCACGGGCGCTAACCCGACTGATCGTCCGCGCTCCACGACGGGGTCGCTGCCCACTCTGGCTCTTCGTGCTCACGGGGTTGAGGTTGCCTCGAAGAAGGATTTGGACATGTTGAGCCGGAAGGCCACGCTTCTTGCGGAGGAGTTTGGCCAGGCCGGGGGCGACTGTCACCCGACCAAGATTTTCCGTCGCTTGCGGAACCGCTCATCGGTGGCGTGTCGAGGGCAGGGGAAGACCCGGGCGATGCCCAGGATGCCCAGAAGGAAATTCAGGGGATCCTTGGCGGTGAGGCTGAATGATATTGGAACTTTGTGGAAACAGCTAGACATGAAGAGGTACAGTATTAACAGTATTGAGTTGTGATACTGACTACTGTGATTACTGTCACAGTACTGACTACTGACATTCTTGTTGACTTCGAATCTATTCCAAGCAGCCCGCCAATCCACTCCCCTCCGAACACACGTCAACGAAATCCTAGAGGTGCTGAAAACTCCAACTCTAGCGCATCCTTGGCACGCCTGGCCCGTGCAAGCGTTTCAACTTGACCAGGGTAGCCTGCATTGGGTGGTGGGTCAATGGGGCAGGTGGGGCAGGTGGGGTCGGGTAGGCTTGGCAAGTGGAGTAGTGGGGGTATGCGGAGCAGGTGGGCTAGATGGGTACATGGGGTAGGTGGGGTCGGTAGGAAAAGGGAAACAGCTACATTGCAGCTACATGAGCTACGACTAAGAAAATAAAACCTTTACAACTGAGCCTGCTACCGCCTCTCATCCCAATCTGCTGTCCCAGGAGTGGAGTTCGGCTGTCCAGGCTTCGTCTTACTCCAACAGAGGGTGCCCAACGAGTTGCAACGCGTTGATGGAGTTCTCGATGACTTTTTTCGGCTTTGCCCCGGTCGTATGACTCTCTATCGCCCAAGCACTCCCAGGGAGTGCTTCGCATCTCCTGGAACCGTCGCTCCAAGGTTCCAACCCACTGGAGGACCGCAGGGGAATCTGGCAAGGTCTTGCAGTTCCCCAGAAGGCCCCCACCTGCACACCTGCCAAGTGACTTGTGCACAAATATCGCATCTGGCCGATAGGGAAGATCTGGCTTGTCGAAGATAGGCAGGTATGTTCTGCTCTTTGCTCGCATGCAGCGCCTCTCTTCGAGAGTGCACATGCGGACGTGCAAGCGGCGTTGTCGGAGTCGCAGCCGCAACTTCCGCAACGCCTTCGAGAATTCGTGGGAGTTCATGCTTCTCAGGCATGGAATGCCTCAGCTGCTTTTGAGAGCGTCCTCGCGCCGCCGCACCCACCTCTGCACATCGTCCCGCCAAGCCCCCTGCGACAAACCAAACGACTTCTGAGCCCGCGGCTTAGCCAACAAAGCCCCGGCGAGACCAAAACTTGTACCGTGCACCTGCACGGGAAAACATCTATAGGAGACCGCATTTGTGGGGGACGTCTGGTTGTGGGTGGGCCTGCTGGCGCCAAAATACCCGGTTCAGCTCGGTAAAAAGCCTCTACTAGTACGAAGCAGCCATCGCAGAGCTCCATGGCAAGAAGTGCGCAAGCCGGAGCCTGCTCTGTTGGAGATGCTTCCAGCTGATCCTCAGCGGCAGTTTCACAGCAGACGGCTCGATGGTGAGCAAAGCGAGCATGCGGTCCTGCCCTGCTCGTCCAACGTGCCCAACTCCTTCAGAACTGGAACAGCCTGGCAATGCGACGCACGCTCGAAGTGAAGAGCGCAGTGAGCCACACGTCACGTGCCGCCTGGGGGTAATCGGCCTCCCTCCTCGCCTCACGCAAGGCCTGCAGGCATGTTGAGGCTTAGACCAAGGCTTTCTCGATTTGCCGCTCTGCGCCTCGAGCTTTCCGCGGAGCTCCTGCGGCAAAGCATAAGCCGTGAGCCATAAGATAACGTGTTTCCGCCCCGTGTCGTGCTCCTCGAGCTTCGCCAGGGCTTCTGCTTCAGCCGCCGTCTTGCGAGGGCGAGGACCTGAGAGACTGAGAGCCCACGCACAGAAGTACGCAAAGGGCCGTCTTGGCCCCGTGCATCGAGGACCTTCAGCCCGAGGTTTCTTCACCGGAGGAAGCGCCGGCTGCAACACGAAACGCCGAACGGGGGGGATCCTTGCTAAAGTCACACTTAAAGTAACGGAGCCGCCTTCGCCTTGGCCTTCGGAGGCTCCGAGCTCTCGGAAGTCGAGCTCTCCGAGGATCTCAGGGTCCAAGTCCAAGAGGCCAACTCGAAGCGTCTCCAAGAAGAGACCCGAGGGCTCCGGCTCTGACGGCTCTGAGCTTGAGCTGGAGCTAGAAGAGGAGGGCAGTGCCAGGGGCCTCTGCTCACGTCAAGCCGCATGGCACTTACTGCACCCCAAGTGCAAGCACCTTCTCCAAAAAGGGCCGAGATGCGGCTCCTTCTTCGCCGCCGCCTTTGCCTGCTTCTTTGTGCTCGGAGCAGCCTCGCCGCTTTTGCTCCTGCACAGCCCAAGTGCAAAGGCCCCGCAGATGCCAAAAAGGCCGGGCCGGCCTCTTCTGCGAGGAGCTGCACCTAAGAGAGAAAAGCGAAGAGAGCTCCCAACAGCAGCAGCTGCCATAGGAGGCTGGGCCCGGAGCAGGCTCTGGCGGCTCCGGCTTCGGCTGTGGTTGCGCGGGGACCGCGACAGAAGAGGTTGGGCCTTGGCCTTTCGCTTCGCCTTGGCCGCCTTGGCCGCCTTGGCCTTAGACGCCTTAGGCTCGGCCTTGGCTTTGGCCTTGGCTTCGGCCTTTGCGTTACCACTCGGCTCTGGCGGCCTCCGGCCCAAATGGCCACGATCGCAGAACGGACGAGAAACGGCACTGCGACCGGACGGCCTGCTGGCCCCAAGCCAAAAGGCCGCCCAGGAGAACCCACTTTTTGCTTTGCTCTTTTTGGCCTCGGGAGACTTGAGAACTGGCTGTTGAGATCGCTGCGGGCACGAGACTCACTGTAGGCTTCCGTGATCTTCCCGTCTCCGTCTCCTGAGGGCCAGGCAGCCGCGCGAGGAGTGGAAGGCTTGCAGGAAGAGGAAGAAGCTGGTGGTGGCGAAGGAGCTCGGCTTGCTGTGGGTGATGCCGACATCTGTGGACCTTCACTTTGCCGGGCCGCCCTCCTAAACCGCAACGGGAAATGAACGAGCATCCGACTGTATGCTGCAGATGCCGCAGGCCTAAATCAGAGTTTTCGTCTGTGGCATCTGTGGCAACCTTTCTCTGATCCCTGAGCCCGGAACTTCTGTGCGGAAAGTCCAGGTGGTGGGAACGGCTCCCGTGCCAAGTAGCCAGAACTCGGCATACGCCGACTCACGGACAGGACAAGTAAAGCCCACCGCTGTGGGACGATATCTGCGAGGTCCAGGCACGATCTGGATGAGCTTCTTCTGAGCATGTGTCTAGCTGTCTAGCTGCTAGCTGCCTTTACCCAAAAGTCGGGCCTTGTCCACCGCATCGTCCTGTAGCACAAACTTCAAACTGAAGCCTCGAGTTTCCAGCCTGAGCCGCTAAGAGCCGCCAAGGACGAACCGAGGCCGAGGCCCATTTTCCCCCGGGGCCGGAGCCAGGCTACGAGCTCCGCCTTCTGCAGCTCTGACCAGTCCTGGAGTCGCACACGACGGTCGAGCTCGCCTGGCGCACAGCAGCAGCGGCAGCGTCACGGAGGGCTAAGCGGCGAATCACTGCAGATCGCCTTCGACTTGATGCAGCAGCTGGGAGATCAGGTCGCTACGCTCGATGCAGTCTGCTGGAAACGGGATCCCACACCTGCAGAGCGGAAGCTACACAAGTTACCTGACATACGCAATCTGGAGAATCGCTAGTCACAATGCTTCATGTGTTTCTCACCCACATCTTGTCCTGTCCAAACGGTACACAGTACACGGGTACGGCGAAGGCATCCTCAGACGACCCAAGCCCTCTTTGGGCATCTTGTGTGAGCTTCTTCTGAATCGAGGACGCCTCTTCCATCTTTAGAAGCGGCTGCCCTTGATCCCAACCTCGAGGCCTAGAGTGCCATTTTGTCCCCTCCTACTCAACTAGAGTGCCATGGAGACTTGAGGTTTTTTAGGTTTTGGTTTAGTAACGGGCAAAATGGCACACTGTTTCACCCCGAGCAAGTTCAAGCCGTTCGATCTCAAAGAGCACATCTTATCTCAAGAAGAGTCACCATCTCTCATAGTACAGTAGGATGGGCAGGACAAGGATTCACGGCGCTGCGATCCAATTGATGCCTTTGCTCTGCCGCTAGGGGTGACCCCGAGTTTTCGCAAGCCCTTTCCCTTGTGGCCTCTCCATGCCCAGAACATACGGACCCTTTTTCCAAATGAAAGAACCAAGAAAAGCAGCGGGCGCACCTCCCGGACCTCGGGCGAAGGCACTTCTGGGAGGGTCTCTAACTGACTCTGCATTGGCCTGGAATCTGAGACTAGAGCATCTGATCACTTTGAAACCCTAACCATTCAAAACCCCCGCACTGCATGAATGAAGAACCATTTGAGGCTGCGGCCATGCCCTGAACTCCGGCACAGAGACGACCTTCCCCACCGAGGCATCCAGCAGCAACTGCCGAAAGGCTGCGATGGGCGCCACAAGGGGCCGCACCTGAAAGGTCTCGAGGCGTCGGGCCACGGGCTACGTTTTGTGGTGATAACCGGCGCCATGCCGAAAACAAGCGCCCGAGCCCGGTGCGGGAGCCTGTTGCGGAGGCTCTGTTCTTGGACGACGTCGCGCCTGCACTTCCGAGCCAAGAGACTCCAAATCCCGCGGTCTGGCGCAATCAGGCTGTGGTGAGGTCCGGCCTCCAGATGGGCATCGTGCTCCCGGCGGCTCTTGTCAGAGCTGAGGATCTTGAAGGCCTCTACGTGGTTCGGCGGCTCAAAACGCACCGTTGGGTGGTTCCGGGGAGCTGGGGTTGGCAGGTTGCTGTGAGGGTCGACTCGTCTGGCCTCGTTCACTCTTCGAAACTGCTCTGCCGCATCTGGGGCATTGCATTTGTCCGGATGCCACTGCAGAGCCTCAGCCCATCCAGGCAACTGTTGGCTGTTGAGAAGGTGCTGCAGGAAGCTGCCTTCATGTGGAATGCGCGCCGAATCTGGATCTCCGTCGCGTTGCCTCGGGCAATGTCGGGACATCTTGCCGCGTCTGCAAAGCAAGAGGGACAGCTGCTTGTACGGGCGCGGGCATGACTCAGAGAGAGAGATAGAGTCTTTTTCGTGACGCGGCAGCGAAGGAGCTCCCTTGCATGGAGCTCTCATATCAGGAAAGTTGCGACTTGTCGAGCCAGGCGCCGATCTGGATCCTTGCCCGGTCCATGAGCTGCTGCCTCTGTTGGGTCTCGTTCTGCATCAGCTGATCCAATCGTCCTTGAACTTCCTTGATCTCGTCATGCTTCTCGGCAGCAGCCTTGGACATAGCCTCCAACTCTGCGAAGAGTGCGTCCTGCTTGATCTGCAGATGGCACACCTAGGACCACACGATGAGGCAGCGTCCTATCCACGCTCGTCACTACAGTACTGTCAGTTAAAGCTTGTTGCAGACACACACACACACACACACACACACACACACACACACACACCTCCTACAGTATAAGCCCCTAGGAAAGAAAATCGGCCTGGAGATGGGTGTCGATGACCTCTTTGCACTTCTGCCACATGTCGGAAGACCAAGGCTCCTGGGAGCCCTGGGCGCCGTCTTCCTCGGGGGCCTGGGCGCGAGCCAGGTTGCCACGGAGGATGGCGTCGGTCGTCGCCGCGGCGGCGGCAGCGGCGGCAGCAGCCGCAGTACTTGCTGCTGCCGACGTGGAACCCGCGCTGGAGCCGATGTCGGATTGCAGGAAGTCAAAGACGGTCCGCACGAAGTCCCGGTACCTCGAAGCGAAGAGCTTGCCTTCCCCTGTCTTCACATCCGAACATGCGAAGAACTCGAGCAGACCTCTCAGCGCTCGCTCGTCTTCGGTGAGCCCCGGCTGGTTTGTTGCTGGGGGCACCACTGGGGCCACTGGCACGGGCACTGCTGCAGCTGGGACTGGGATGGCTGGGGGCATCTTTGCCTGCGCGGGTGCCATCGAAGGCATCGAAGCCTTCGGGCCGACGACGATCGGCTGCCGAGCTGGCGCTTGCTGCCGCTCCTGTGGCGATGCGGCGGGCCCGGGCCCCGCTGCCTTCGTTGGAGGCGGCTCCTTGGCTTTGGCTGCTGTTCGCGGGTTCACGGTGTAGGGACTGGCCGGCCTGGCCGTGGCCGTAAGCTGCTGCGCCAGCTCCTCCAACTCCCGGAAAGGCTCCAGGCCCGAAGCAGTGCACTCCGAGGTGCTTTCCACTCCCTGCTGGTCTTGCTCAGAGAGCCTGGCCACCAGGTCCCGCTTGAAACCATGGATGCTCAACCCACGCTCGCTGCAGAGCCAGCGCAGCTCCGGTGCACGTAGCGGGCCATAGCTCATCTCCCTCAAGAAAGCCTCAACATGCACATTCTCACCTACTCTGACTCGAATGCTACCTTTTTGGGGGTATCAGAAGGCTGGGAGCCTGAAAAGCCGCCGGGCGGGGCCCATGGGCCCATGACTTCGAGCATGAGGCTCTTGCATCGGAGAAACATCGCAGCGGCACAAGCAGAAACTCAAGACGAGGCGTTCCACACCCAGCTGGTCATAGCAGCTCCTCCGAGCAGGGGGCTACTCGACACAGCACACAAATCACATCTGCCAGATCGAAACAGTCCTGAACATTCCGGCGGCGGGAACCTGCAACGTCCCAATGACACAGGCACCAGACACCAGCCACCCCAGGCAAACTGTCGGTGCTCCTGTGAACGCGGTGAAGCCATCGATGCGGAACCACCCTGCATGTCGCTACGAATGCGAGTCGGTCGGGTGAGCATCCATCTAAACCCAGAACGTGACCATGTTTCAACATTAGGGCGAGAGGCCGGATCAGCGCCGCAGCAGCGCTGTTGAAAAGGTCAGTGCGACATTTGCTGGCAGGCTAGGGTTTGCGGCAGTGCAGTCAAAAGGAACGGCCCAGATCGCAGGATACTTGCAGCCGGTTTCCACAAATCCGACTGGCTCCACCAGGTTGATAGCAAGGACCCTTGCTGCCGTTTACACGACGTAGGCTGCGGCAGGAGCCATGCAGACTCTTGAGCCAACAGCCCAACGCAAGTTCAGCACATCATTGCACGTCACGCCAGTCAAAGCTCCGAGGCGCTTCATGCAGCAGCATCTTAGCGGACAAGGTCGATCAGTTGGGAAGCCGCCCGGCCTTGATGTCTCCGCCGGTGCGGCCTGACCACAGTTGCTAAGCATGGGACACTGGTGTTCATGTCAACGTCGCAGGCAGCGAACATGATTCTGTCCCGATCGGCTGCCGCTTGTCTCTGACGGCCACGACATGCGACCAGTTGCCTGCTCAGAGACGAGAGGTCCTCCTGTTCCGGCATGAGCACAGCAACGGGGAAGCTCAGAAGACCTCCGACACGATGCACTTCTCTCGACTAGCTGCCCATCGCGTGGCAGGCGCCAAGGCCAAGCATTTACACGCTGAGAGCTTTGCCGTCGGGGCAACATCCGAAGTAACCGACCAGTGACCAAGTCACCGTAGCCAAAAACCTACGAGGCCCGGCCCCAGCGTCGTCTTGGCTTCTCCTCGGCCTCCTCGCCGAGGGCGACCTGGATCTCTGCATCTTGCCCCTCACCACTCCACCTGCGCACACTCCCCGCCGCTGCATATCCACCCGCCTCTCCACTGTGTTCGGGTCCGGCGGAGGGCGCCGGGATCCTCGGCCTCAGCCCGGCCTCAGCCTCCTGCAAGGGATCCGGCGCTAGGTCAAAGCGGAAGGGGTCCAGCAGGACCGCGCGGACGCGCTGCGCGTCGATGTCATCCCGGAAGTAGGAGCCAGTGTTTTCCCCCACGCAAGGAAGCCTGCATATTAGCAAATCACATTGCCCAGGGTGGCTTTGCCGGCATAACTCCTTCGCAGACGCAAGATTACTGTATTCGAGAATTGAGAAGCTCCTAAGCTATGAGGTCCTTGCCTTACAGGAAGGACTAAGGAGGGCTCGCAGTCCTCCAGAGGCATCCCTGCCGCAGTCGGGCCGATGTTCTTGCCGCTACAGTCCAAGACCAGGAGAAGAAAGTTGCAGGTCTTTTGCGACAACTCGCGGAAGAGCTCCATGAAATCCGCCTCGATCCAAAGCTGCCGGTTCAAGTTCAGCACAACGAAGAGTTTGCGGTCAGCGGATCCAAGCAGGCATCGGAAGCGCTGAACGCAGCGCTGGATGTAAAGGTAGTCAGAGTCATCATGCAGTGGATCGCGATGGTTGAAGATAGTCCCGCGCCCTACTCCGGCTGTCATTTCAGAATAAGTTTTGTGGCCGATCAGCTTCCGTTCTCGGGGAGCTGATCCCGGCTTGAGGCCGATAGCATCGAAGGAAGTGCCGTTGAGGTGGTACTGGCGTTTGTCAAGAAAGTCTCGGAAGTCATCCCGCAAGCAATGAGACACCATTGCCGCAGAACTGAAGATCCAGTCGAAAGGACATGCATAGCGGCGTGCCCCCATGGCCTTGTACACGGAGGACTGTGAGCAGCGGCAGCCCAGCGAGATCACGTGCTTGAACGCCTCCGTGTGCCGAGGCCACGGAGGTCCCCCCGGCCCTGGCCCTGGCCCCGGGAGCCGTGCCATCTCAAATGAAAAGGCACACGACGAGTTACAGTGGAGAGCAAGACTAAGAGAGGATCGGATCTCGAAAAGTTTGGTGTCGCTTGGGGACTCGATGCAGCCCTGCTGTTCAAACTCCAAGTGAAGGGGCTATGCGGAGTGAGACAGTCAGTCGAACATATCAGCTCGCAGATACTCGCACATGCCGGGGTTTGCGGTCCCTCAACTGCAGGGTATCTTTATTGCGTGGCTCGCGAAACCAAGGGAGCACAGAAGAACACTGTGCTAGACTGCAAGACAGAAAAAACTTGTTTGAGGGCCTTCCGCAGACCTGAAAAATGCAGTCTGGTTCTGCGTCGCGGACCTGGAAGTCCTTCTCGCTTGCCAGGCCAGGCCTCGCGGGCGGAAGTGAGCAAGAGAAAAAGAAAGCAAGGTTGCAAGATGTTGCAAGCGCGTGTCTTTCTGCTCTCTATCAGCGGAAAAAGCGCGACCTACGAAAAACTTCTGAAAGAGACATGCTGGCACAAAGCTACAGTAAAGACGGAACCGAGGTCAAGCAACTACCCGCATAACCCTGCACATCAGCTGCCCAGGCTCCGTCTCAGAAATCCTGTCAGTCACCACGAACGCTAACGTCAACATACAGTATGCACGGTGATCGACATGGGATGGTCCGGGATGGTGAAAAGATGTTAAAAGACTTCAAGATGGTGCCAGCCCACACATTGGGCCGAAGTTCATGTAAAAATCGAGAAGAAAGCAAGCGACCTGTCTGAGACAACTCCCCCTCCACTACGCAGAATGACGATATGCAACGCAGCATCCTGTGGGCGCAGAAGGTCCCAGCGATGTGTGCTTGCCGTCGTGCTTCAGCCAGGATCTCCATCGCAGAGCAACCAAGACGTCCAGACGGCCTCAGCCTTGGGCCGTGAACGCCTAAGCCTTTTCGGGTATCAAGTGGAAGTCTGCTTCAGACCCTTAGCACCTTCAGGTCAGGTGCCTTTGGCTTCGAGAAGAGGCGTGGGCAACGGTTGCCTCGGCTCGGAAAGAGCATACTAAAGTGACCCCAAGGGGAGACCCGTCTAATGAATGCAGAGTGCTTCTCTTTGAGGCAAGGTCTGGAGGAAAAGGGCCCCCCCTTCTTCGGGCTCAGTCCTTCTCCACCTTCGGTGCTTTTGGAGAAGTTCACATATGATGTAGGGTCCGAGCGACTCTTTCATAACATTCATCGTTATGTAAGACCAACCTCGAGCTTGCTAGGTGGCTCGGGCCCGACGTCATGTCAAAGCTGGGGGGGGGAGGTTCCCGTCAAGCGGGACCGGAGCCGCATGGCCTAGCGCAGTTCGATGTCAAGTCCTCCAGTCAGCTCCAGCAAGTGCAAGAGGATATCAACATTGACCCTGATCCTGTCTGTAAGAAGAACTGCGACTGCAACAGGCGCAGCTTCAAATGAGGACATGGGCCTCAAGAGGGCACTTCTCACATTGACCGAGAGCGGTTCGGCAGAAACTCGTCACATATCTTGACACACGCAGGCAACTTCCGAAACTGCGCCAACCTCGATACCCGAAACGACCTCTGGCCCCGGAGGTGACCTCCATGGTATGGACACGTCCAAGTGTCCATCTTGCACACGAGTCGTCCATATGGACCCTCTGGTGAAATTGCGCTTGCCCTGCACTTGTTCAGAACATGGGCGCGGCCAGCCCTCTGCCGGTTCCACCTCGAGGGCAGCTTGGACACCATGTTTCGAACGCCTGCGTGGCCGGAGGCGGGTCGAGACGCTCCACCCCCGACAGCCTTTGCCTGAACTAGGGACAGGCGACACAACAGGTGCGACAGCTGAGTCAATCACTGTCGGCATCTGTTTCTAAACGACTCTACACAGTCTTGCTCCGGGACTTGCCGCAACGAGATTTCACGAGTTGCTACAGCGCTTCAGCATTCCCCTAAGATGCCCTGAAGTGCTCGTGGGCCCGCCCAGGTCAGAACACAGAATTCCTGGCCGGTCAGCAACAGGAATCCCAGATCAAACATTTCAACAATCGAAACTCCATCGAAAATCAGTCGCCGCTCTCTCGCCTCCACACATAGTCACAGTCCTGCTTACGTCCGGCTGCTCGAGATGTTCTCTCCTCTAACTCTCGAGTTTTGTTCATGCAACAGCTGCCGGATGCCTGCGATTATCGTGGCGAGTGGCGCTTGGCCCCATGTACGGGCTCGACAAACATAGACAATCGTGACGCAAAGTCGCGTCCAAAAAAACCGTGGCCCAAAGACTGCAGACGTGGCACCATGCTTGTTTAGGCTCCATACTTATATACGAGTTAATGATCAACATCAACGGTACCCCTGCAGCCGAATGAAAGCCCCGGCGAGCTGTTGATGGGCAACCTGCTCTGGGATGCCCTCTTGGGGATATTTTGATTTGTGCAGTCGATTGGACAGCCTGAAACTCTAAGCCACAAATCCTGAACTCTTCAAGGCCTAAATCCTTGCAAGATTCCGTCAGCTATTGCTCTTGGCTGACGGCTGTCTGACAGCTGCACATCACAGGACTTCGCGGAAGCTCTTAGCATCACGCGCGAACGACCAGCACGTCCCAACCACATATTGCACCGCTTAGGGATATTGCACCGCTTAGGGATGCTTGAATCGAAGCATGAAACAGTGGATGTTAGATTTCAAGCTCACATTTTTAGCGGTGCAATAGCTTCAATAACTGCTTTGATGGAGGCAGATACAGCTCTTCACTAGCAGCCTCCATCCGCCACCAGTCTCCAACGGTGGCAACCTGCAGGTGTGGAAAATGGGACGCGCCGAGCCGGCAAAAGCTCCCTGTGCACGTGGCAGAAGCCGCGTCGTCCGATTCTCAGTCTCAGGCTTTGGGATCGATTTCCCGCCTCGCTTCAAGATCATCGGTGAGCTTCTCGACGCACGTCACCATGAGTTCACCAAACCCGCTGCGATTTGCCTTTGAGACACAGAGAAGGGCAAGCTGGTGGAAAGGCATGCGGACCAGGACTCGCTCAAGACGTCGCTGTGCGGATTCGGAGGTCGTCTCCTCACCAGTGGCATGCTTCAGGGCCTCCTCTGCGACCAGGTCCAGGCTCTCCTTCGCGAGGCTGAGGAAGCCATTCATGCTCGCGTTCGACGTCAAGATCCGATGGAGCATCAGAAGAGCTTCCCGCATGCCCATCATGTTGAACTTCTGGCGCTGCTGCTTGTCCAGCTTCGCTGGGCGATCTGCATGTGGCATGTGGCAGTAGTTGCATTGCGCCCCGGTCGTGCACTTGCCGGCCACGAAGTAGATGCATGGGCGCTTACAAAGGTCCGGGTGCCCCCGGCTCCCACAGCTTGCGTCCGCAAGAGCCATTTCTCTGTGAGCAGCAACGACTGTCTCGCTTCCACTATTGGCGAGGCTGTGCATTCTGAAAGTACCCAGGGACTGCACGTAGCGTCGTAGAGTTTCCTCTTCGGTCATTGCCTCGCAGGCTGTCTCGAGACGCGCCATAGGAGGTGGCTGGCTGACGCTTCGACGATGAACGCCAGATTCCACCACCATCGGCGCCTCGTCGATGAAGGTGCGGCTGTACACAAAGGTCACCTCCGCCCCGATGCGATCGAAGACTGCCATGGCGATGCGATGTCCCAAAGAGCCACAAGCTTAGAGCCTTGAATCCGAAGCGGGCTTGAGCCAAGTGGCCTGCAAATGGGAGAAGGCTACCCTTGAGGCTTTGGGGGCCGGACCGGGCCGAAACTGCACACTGTATACACGCAGACTGATATCCCTCTGGCATTCTGCCCCACTTCGGGCGTTTTCGTTGCATGGCGCACGTGAATTTGGGTATGCCTCTGAATGAAACCCATCGCTTTGATTAAAAATTCAAGGCGAACTAGATTCACTAGGTCCATGAGCTTCTCAAGCTTACCGGAAAGCAAACAAAAACAAACTGGCTCACCTTGAGCGTTGAGATTGAACTTCGAGATCGAAGTTTGGAAGCTCGGACGTGAGGAGAGTACCTGGAAGCGACGCGACATCAGTACCCCAAACACCATAAAGGCTGACAGTGATGTGACGAAATGCGACACAGGCTTCTTCCGCGTGGCTCTGTAGCTCACTGGCAGTCAACAACTCTCATGAGCCAATTCCTCGGAGCGCCTTCCAGATTCCAGCACAACTTTGATGGGTGACATTGCTCCGAGAAGACACGAAAATCCAATTGGACAACTGCTTCTGCCGTGATCTGCCGTGGCTGGACAAAAACATGGAAAACACTTGCTCCTTTTCGACAAAAGCAGTGTAGACATAAGACATGCGACAGACCTGTGAATCCGCTGGACGTCTGATGCCCCCGGCCCCCGGTCTTGGGCCAAAACACTAGCATCGGGATCGAGCGTGTTCTTCTTGCTATCTCGCGCCAAAGTTTCTCTCCGACCCGGCTTGCTTGCAAGAGTTTGCCCTCTGTCAACAGTCCCTGCGCAGCTCTGCCTCGACAGGTTCCCATCAAAGCAACAGGAGTGACACACCCTTTGGGGGGGGGGGGGTCCAGGATGGATGACTTTACCACATTCGACGTGCCAGGTCCTTTTTTTGCATCAGGACTTGTGCAGTCGCCTGAATGTGCCAGGTCCTTTCAAAGAGGCATCCTGAAGCAAGCCTGTGGCCTCCCGCACGCTGATTACGGTGCTCGCATGCATATCAGCAGCGCCATCGGCCTTCCCCCTCTTGCAAATGCTGGAGCCTGACAATCTTATCTTTGAGTTGCATTTCACCTCCTGTGGCCAAGGGACGGTCGGACTCAGCTCAGGTTCATCTTAACTCTCCGCTTGTATACTATGCAGGCACACGAAGAAAACTGCCGTCATGCTTATATAGACACAAGCAATCTCACACACGTACAAACACACACTCACACAGAGCCTGCGTGCCACTCTCCGTCTGCATTGCTGTCTTCAAAGCAGTTGCAACGATACACCTACTGATATACCAAAGTTTATGTCATAACACAGCACCAACACGAGCCTGTGACATGACACGGCAACCGGTGCAGTCCGATTTTCACAGCACAACGGTCCGCCGCGGGTGGTAGTGCTGTAGCCCCAGCATACCTGACCAGACCGGCTTCGGCTTGGGGCACTTGGGGCTTCGATGGGCCACGGCCACCTCACCTGAGCTTCTGACGCCAGTCGGGGTCGAAATGGCGGCCAACCCCGATTCGGAAGTCCATGGATACCCGCGTGTGCTCAGAGCGATTGGGCGGAACAAAGTGCCGCACCAGCGTCCCATGAAACATAGCCTTGCAATCAGCCACCTACGGTATACAGTCTCCATGCATTGCACCATGAAGGCCCGAGTCTGGCACAACATCACCGGGCTGGACTTCGACCGGATGGAAGTCGCCTTCTCCCGGCGAGGATTCGATCCAGAGTGTCGTCCTTGCAACAGGGCCACCCAAAGGCTGCTGTGAGCAAAGGAGAACTCAGGAAGTCGAAAGATCCAGAAGGAGTCCTGGTCAAGCTGTAGTCCGTAAGTGGCATCCAGAAGTTAATCTCGCCTGCTTGGTGGCCGTATCTCTCGTCCGCGTGCAGCATTCGAGATCGCCTGGTCAAGTTCGAGCTGCTTCCGCAAGCCATGAGCCCCTAAAGCCCTGAAACTAGAGCTCTCGGTTTGGTCGCCACCGCCTACTGCGCCCTGGCTGCAGTCGGACCGTCGGCGGGTGCTGGCAGTAGAAAGTCACAGGGCCAGCCTCCTCCAGCCTTTCCCTGCAAACAGCACGAGCCATCTCAGACACAATGCAGCACAAGTTCAGGGGTCCGTGAATATCAAAGGAGCAAAAACTTCGAGACTGGCAGCGGTTGCTCGTTCTCGCAAAACAATCAAAAGCATGTAGGACAGATCATACCCTGTCATACAGGCTCTTCCGGAAAAGCACCGTCACGTAATTCACAATAGCTGATTTGCGATGTCTGAAAGTGACGGGACTCACAAGCATGACAGCAACTGCCAAGGCTGTTTCTGACAACTGTGGGGCACCTCCCTCCGCGACAAGAACCTTTTCTTGAATAATTGTGCTACATTTCTTGGTTAATCCCATGCTCAGTCGGTGGTGATGTCAGTTCTGGGCTTTGACGAACCTGCTGTTCTTCCATTGCTGCCACCTCCGCCGGCTTTTATTTTGAGTGCTGCGGCTGCTGTCTTTTTTTTATGTCGGTTCCTGGCAGGCCTAGCCCCTGCCGCTACCGTGCTCCTGCTTCTGCTCCTGTTGCTGCTGTTGCTGCTGTTGCTGCTGTTGCTGCTGTTGCTGCTGTTGCTGCTGTTGCTGTCCGCCGTGCTGCGAACTGAAACGACCCGAAACGACGAGAAGCCCGGCTCTGCCTTAGGCGTGGGCAGATGACCTCTTCCAGAAAACGGTCGTAGCAGGCCAGGAAGGCCGGGCAGCCCAGGACACAGCGTCTCCATGCCTTCTCGTAGGCAAACGAGCTGAAGGTCCTCTCCTGGAAGACTTTCATCGGGGATAGCAGCAGTAGTATGCCGAGAGTGTTACAAATGGAAGATGATAGCACGCCGCACAGTATGCATGGCATCGCGTCGCACTGCATCGCAAGCCTGTTTGGGAAACCTTGCCATGGCAGCAACGCTGCTACAATCTGATCTTGTGGTATGGCGTGGCATTCTTGCGCCAAAATGGGGTCTAAGGCGGGGGGGTGAAGGACGTGGCAGAGCCTCTGCCCGGAAGCGCTCCAAGGCCAGAGAGGACCCGACAAAGCAGCCGAAGCCGACCATAGGCCCAGCCTGTCCGACAAAGTAAGTCCAAACCCCTAAGCCCTAAGCCTTGTCTGAACTCCCAGCAGAGCCTCTGCCAGAAGCCTGGCCGCCAGTCCTGCACACAAATTTGCTGCCGAGGCATAGCAGGACCTCCGCCCAGCCGGCCTCTGAGATCATAGCGGCTGGAATCAAAGCTAAACACCTCCTCCCGGAGCAAGCCTTGGCTGACGCCCTTCCACAATGCAGCCAATGCAGGTGGCAGTGCAGACATGCTCTCAGAATACTGGAGACACACTCCTTTTGTATCTTCGCCAACGCTCCGGCGCTGCAGAGCCTTTGAAACTGGTGCCGCTGCCACCCTCCAAAATCTGGAACGGCTGAGAATGGCAGCATCGCATTTCGGACTCGAACGGCGCGCCTCGCGCGTCGAGGCCTAATTCTCAAAATCCGTCTGCGGACTCCGAGCGAAGGCTCAGAGCTAGGCTTTGGAGCGCTTCAAAGCCTGAATGGCCAGGTTAGCCGCCTTCTGGCCCGAGAGGAGCATTGCACCAAACGTAGGCCCCATCCGATTGCATCCTCGCGCCTCGGCAACCTCCATTCCAGCAAAGATCAAGCCAGGAACGACTTCACTGGTCATCTGCACCACAGCATCCTGCAAACGAGCGGAAGCAGGGAACAACAGCACCGGAGGGAGAGGCTTCAGGAGGTTTTCTTGAAAATGTTGAAGCTTCAGTGAGTTCTCCTCGGCAGTGTTCATATCCAAGGCGCCCATGCCGGGGAGCCCCGAGGGCAATGCACCCAGAGACTCGAGGCGCTTCGCAGAGCTCGCGCCCATGGGGCCATCGTGGCCAGTGGCCGTCACCACCACCTTCGCCTCCATGACCTCCAAGAGCGAAGCACAAGGAAAACATGCAAACCTTCAATCGCGTTCGACTCGGAGGCATGCTCAAAACCCCTCCTGCGGGTCCATGCAGGACTGCGTGTCGTGGTTTTGCGTGACAAGAGACCAATTCGTGACGACCTTAGCAGCAACTTGCAGCGCAAAGCCATTCTGCGCTTCAACTGAGGCGAGAAAGCGCTGTCGCTTTTCAGACAAAGCCACGCCCCGGACCCGGACCGCCACGGGGCTCTCCGCCAGGCCGGGGCTCTCCGGCTCCTGCCGAACGAGCAGGTCCTCCACGGCAACGGCATTGAAGAGCTTCACGTTCGGGGCGATCAAGGCCTTCCTCAGGACGGAGGACATGAACAGCGCCGCATGCTTGACGACCACATAGTCGCCTTGGTCATCGTAGGGGACCTCCAGCTCATCCAAGAACTCGTCGGCTGGTTTGCGCACCACCATGGAGCTCATCAGTTGCCCCCCCAACCAGCAGCCCCCGCCAGGAGCGACATTCTGCTCCAGGATGGCCACCTTGATGTCGGGATGCTTTGTGAGCTCGTAAGCACACGAAAGTCCCGCGGAGCCAGCGCCCACGATGACCACATCCGTCTCCGCATAATCCAACATCTCCGACATGTAGCGTTGTGTCATCTCGCGGCTTACCGTGCTCTCACGAATTGGTGTGAACTGCATCGAGTCGAACATGGCCAGCTTGTTGCTGACGTAGGCTTCCGGATCCGTAGGAAGGGCTGAAACCAGTGCAGACTTCCAGCGCAAACCGCCTGCCGCAACTGTACGGGGTGGATTGATCAAGCGGCGCATACCAGAAGCAACTCCAGCAACACGAGGTGCGAACATGTCGAAGCAAAGGAGGCCCAGGTCCCTTCGCAGGTATTACCCTGATCAGGTTCAACGGTCTGTTCTCAGCACAGCCGCACTTGGCAGCCAGCACCCGTCAGGCCTGTTTGATCCAAAATGTGCTGGGGCATTGAAACAAGGGGCAAAAGTTCGGCATACGCTGCCCGGACGTCCCGAAAGGCAATGACTTGGCAAGCAAATGCTGGGCAGCCGTCTTGCAAAGGGCAGGAAAGCCAACATGACAAGCTGAAAGAGTTCGTTTTAAGCCATGCTTAGATTCCGACTCAGCATTTCTGGAGTGGAACGTGGAACCTCTTTATCGGAGTACCTATGAAGCATCGAAGCTCTGAAACACCTCCTGTCATCTTCTCAGGAAGCCTTTAGCTTTCCTTTGAGCGGAGATGGTCAGGGGACCTTTGATCCTCCACTTCCACGGCTGGCCCTGATAGCTCTTGCTCGCCGTAGAACTAGTCCCGGAGCCCTGGTAGCTTGGGCCCGGGCCCAAGCCTTGGCCCAAGCCGAAGACGCGCCAACTCCGGTAGTTGTGACGAGGCTTCGCCCAGCGCGGTGGCCAGAGCACCGCGGAGGCCGTAGAAGGCGAGGAGCTGGGCGAAGCAGCCGAGGTGGGTGAGGAGCGAGTGAGTCGGAGGCAGGTGGCGTAGGCCTCCGCCAGCTCAGCAAAGCTTTCCGGTGACCTGCCAGGGAGGGAGCCCTTTTGGCGACTCGTACCTAAATCCAACCGATTCCCCAAGACCCGACTTGTTTTGACCCAGCCAACTTCGTGGTGCCAGTCGGACACACATCCGGGTGAAGACTACGGGCCAGCTCGTGGTATCTCAGCTTCAACTCCTCTTTCGAGGCCTGGGGAGTCAGTCCCAAGATTTCATGGCAACTACGCAGTCCCCGAACCACCATGGCTCGCCACATGCTGCTCAACTCAAACTGACACTTCTAGTTGCTTGTCATCGACTGGAGCCGACAAGCTGTGCTTTCGAGGATGCACCGCAGCTTGCGAACCTACGCAGCGGGCAAACATTGACTCTCCATTTTGCTTCGCGTTCCCAGCAGCTGAGCTGGATGCCTTTAAGGGGGAGCGCATTACCGCGACCGAATGCCTTTGGAAGCCTTCCGTCGTGGGCAATCTGCACACAAGGCAGCGACTCGAGTCGGGTGGATGCACTTCCTGCGACCAGGAGCCTCCGCCAACACTGCAATGGCTTTCCAACTTCTGCTTGCCGGGGCCAAGCCAGGCTGTTGCCCTCCGTCAGCCAATTCTAATTTCAGCTTCTGGCCCCGCATCAGCAAGGTCCCACTTGGCACAGAAGGCTCTGCGAGCACTATACGCGATTTAGACAGCGACAGCTGTTCGGATTCGGGGGACAGTCTAACGGACGGCCAGCCGTTGCCTCCGAACCCGATGATCACACCGGTCAGCTGCACGGACGGTGTGCTTTCTGACAACCCTGAGTCTTGCCCAATCCACCTCTGCGGTAAACCCGGCGTTGAAACGTTCCCCACAAGGTGCAAAGGAACCGAGCTGTTGACGGAAGCTCGTGTTCGCAAAGCTAAGGACCGGAGAATCCATGATGGTCGCATCGCGATGCTGAACGGATGTCCACTTCAGTTGTTTGCTTTTGCGTTGCATCTGTTGGAATGTTCTGGCTTGCTTTCGTGCTGTCTTGCCAAGTGAGAATGACTAGTACTAGCAAAGCAGCAACGCAAGTTATCGACATTTTCACACGGCTGGATGAGTGCATGAAACATACAGTAAGGCACATATCAATATGTGCGTATGCTCATGTAGGGACACATACGTGTCCACCTATCTTGCGACAACGCATCCCTGCTGGAAGATGCGCTGGGATCGCTACTGTTTGAACCAGCTTGGAGCAAAGACGCCATGTCCAAATAAGCTAGTGCAATGCCCAAGGCGTGCCGAAGCTTTGGTCGAGAGAAACACCGTAGTTTTTGCCGAGCTACTCCCCGGCAATGGTGTCTGGAGGACCGCCGGCTGCTGAATCGACCTGCATCAGACGCACGGGATGGCAGGATTCATAACATGCCTACCTCGCGATAAGCTGCATAACAATCGCTTCCGTCGTCACTCACTCTCACTGCATTTTCGTGTTGCTGCGCGTTCCCATCCTGATCGAGGTAGATGGGCCAACTGGCACCATGGCCTGTCAGGTGCACACGTGCACAGTGCAACATTCAACGACTGCATGTTCAAAGCAGCAAACGCCACAAAACAGCCTGGGAATACAAAGCACGGGCAGAAGCACACAACTAATTCATAAGAGTCCTCGCACGCACAAGACCAACATTTTATTTTAGCTGCGTGATTAATGTATCTGACATTGCTTGTGCTTTTTGTTCCCCAACAGCGTAAGCTCTGGGGTCTTTAGCCGAAATAAGGTTTGGGGCAGATTGGGGCGAGGCCTGGGGCAAGTTCCGGGGCAGGTTCCGGCAGGTTTTGGGGGAGGTTCCGGGCAGGTTCCGGCGAGGTTCCGAAGCAGGTTCCGGTGATGTTGCGGGGCAAGTTCCGGGGCAGATTCCGGGGAGGTTCCGGGCAGGTTCCGGCGAGGTTCCGGCGACGTTCCGAAGCAAGTTTCGGTGATGTTGCAGGGGAAGGTCGGGGCAGGTTCCGGCAGGTTCCGGAGCGGTTCCGGGGCAGGTTACGGCAGGTTCCGGTGAGGTTCCGAAGCAGGTTCCGGTGATGTTGCGGGGCAAGTTCCGGTACAGCTTCCGGCAGGTTCCGGAGCGGTTCATTTCATGTTCCGAAGCCGGTTCCGATGATGTTGGGGGGGGAAGTTCGGGGCAGGTTCCGGCAGGCAAGCCCTCCATGCCGTCGCTAAACCCGAAAATCTTGCTGCACACGCTTTACTTTGCCCCAAGTGCATTGTCCAAGCCTTGAAAACCATATTTTACAGCTTTGTCAGCATTGCTTATGCCCTTCCTGCTCCCAGTCCCGGGCTGTAATTCAGCTCCGGATGCTTCAGCATTTCCCGAAGCCTGGTACACGCATTTGGCCTGCGTTGCAGCAGTGCTCAACCTCCATGCCGTCACTAAACCCGAAAATCCTGCTGCACAGCCTTGAAAACCGCATTTTACAGCTTTCTCAGCCTTGCTAATGCCCCTCCTGCTCCCAGTCCCGAGCTGTAATTCAGCTCCGAAGCTTCAAGACCGAGCCCAAATGCATTTCCCGAGGCTTGCTAAACGCATTTGGCCAGCGTTGCAGCAGTGCTCAACCTCCATGCCTTGAAAACCCCATTTTACAGCTTTCTTAGCCTTGCTAATGCCCCTCCTGGTCCCAGTCCCGGCTGTAATTCACCTCCGGAAGCTTCAAAGCCCAAATGCATTTCTCGAGGCCTGGTATACGCATTTGGCCTGCGTCAGCCTGTTGCAGCAGTGCTAATCCTCAATGTCGCTAAACCCGAAAATCCTGCTACACACGCTCTGCTTTGGTCTCCAACAGCCCCAAATGCATTTTCAAGCCTTCAAAAGCGCATTTTACAGCTTTCTTAGCCTTGCTGATGCCCCTCCTGGTCCTATCCGGGCTCTAATTCAGCTCCGCAAGCTTCAGACCGAGCCCAAATGCGTTTTCCGAGGCCTGGTAAACGCATTTGGCCTGCGTTGCAGCAGTGCTGAACCTCAATGCCGTCGCTAAACCCGATAGTCCTGCTGCACGCGCTTTGCTTCGGTCTCCAACGGCCCCAAAAGCATTGTCCAAGCCTTGACAAGCGCATTTTGCAGCTTTCTCAGCCTTGCTAATGCCCCTCCTGCTCCCAGTCCCGGGCTGGAACTCAGCTCCCGAAGCTTCAGAGCGAGCCCAAATGCATTTCCCGAGGCCTGCTAAACGCATTTGGCCTGCGTTGCAGCAGTGCTCTACCTCCATGCCGTCGCTAAACGCGAAAGTCCTGCTGCATGCGTTTATCTTAAGCGAATCAGAATCCTTTGTTCAATGCCTGCATCTACAGCTCTTTGAGCTTCTCTGGCATCCGTTCATGTGAGCCCGACGACAGCCATTCCGCTGTTGGGCTTATTCAATGGGATTATTTCATTTCAACATGCACTCACTCACTCATTCAATCAAACACCCACTCAATCACTCAATCACTCAATCAATGAATCAATCAATCAATGAGTCGGTCAGTCAGTCAATCAGTCAGTCCGCCAGTCCGTCAGCCAGTCAGTCAGTGAGTCAGTCACTTCTCAAGTACTCAATTAACTACTAGCACTGACTCGCTCAAAAACCAACTCACTGACTCATTAGCCGCCGGTGGGGTTTCTTGAGCGTAGCTTTGCAAAGCACACTTACTGCCACGCTGGTCGGAGCGCCGTACATCGCTGGCGCCCTGCCTGGCGCACAGCACCCGCCACTCGAGGACGTACTGCACGATGCAGTCCCTCCCAGCCCCAGCCGCCTCGGCCCGTAGCGCGCCGGTTGCACGGGGACTTGGACTTGCGAGTTACGCGGACGTAAAAAGGTGCGCGGCAAAAAAACTCATTCTCTCACTCGCTCCCTCGGTCGCTCGCGCACACTCGAACCACCCAACGAAGTTCCCAACGAACTTTACCGGCTGCATGACGGCTACTCACGTCTCGCGTGGCCGCGAGCTCAACGAAGGTGCGGGGCGGCTCGGGCCGTCGAGCTCAGGCGGTGAGGTATCGTAATTCAATGAGGATCCTACACGTGCGGCAACAGTGAAGACTTGCTCGCATGTTGCTCGACCCAGGACCAACCGACGACTGGCCCCGAACACCGGCTGCCGGCCTACATGTGCCACGCCGCGACACTAGCAGACTACCGAAATCGCGCACAAGGCGAAACGCGAAAATTTTGCGACTCTATATTTGGACACTCAGCCAGCAAAGTGCGCGCAGGACGCTTAGCTTAACCACGAACCGAGCACTGCCGACTTTGCGGGCAGCGGCCTGCGGTTTGATGAAACTTTGTTTTTGTACGCGCCTATTCGCCTCCTCAGAGGCCGAACTTGGCTCGCGCACCGACACAAGCACCATGGCCGTGGCTGCTCGCTGAGACAGACGCGGATCTCGCAGCTGCTGGTGCGCCCCGACATTCCACCCCGCACTCACAAGCTTCGGTTACAATACAGTAAAGGAAGCGCATGGCTGGGGCAAGGCCAGCGTCGTGGCACAGGGCCCCGCCAGATGAGGTCCAGACTTCGGTTGGGTGCTTTTGTGCGCGCCGGCCATTGCTTTGGGTGCCAGCGTGAAAGGACTTTCGGGCTGGTTTTGCGAACTCAACAGGCGTACGGCCCAGGTCCTCTCAGCCTGCCTACACTGGTGGCCGACCAAAAGCTGGACCACCAGCTGGCCCAGCAAGCTCGGCTGCTGCCACACGGGCGGGTGTGAGATTACTGGCTCCAACTCTTCCTCCTCTTCGTCCCATCCTGCGGTGCTTGCTTCTCGACAAGGCCAACCCCCCTGACGTTCTTTTTCGTCACAGCAATCTCCCTTGCAAGGGTCCCACACATGCTCCAGATGGGGTCGTTGCCACGAAAGCTGTGCTCAGGATTCGAAGAGCTCTCCGATACCGCCAATGCTACGCGCGAAAGCTTGCAGCCGATATACAGCCTGGAATTGCTTTGGCCCGAGCGGCACGTACTTGCCGGCAGAGGTACCCCGAACTGCTCTGTGCCCGGCGCCGCCGCCTTGTCGCGTTCAGCACTGAGACTGGAAAAATAGGAAACCTGCCGCTTTCTTCGGGCTGCTGGCACGAGCCCGTGTGGCCAGCGCGCCTGCCGCCCTTTGCAAGCCGCGCGGGGTCCGTTGCCAGAGTGGCATACTGTCTGTTGCTGCCCAGCGAGCTTTCGCTGCTTCGCTCCCCGCGGCTGCAGATCGGTGCTGCTAGCGATCCGCCTGCCTTGCACGAGCTCCTCGTCGAACCACGCTGGTTGCAGCCGCCCGCCTACGGCGCGTCCCGCTTGAGCACCGCCGTCCTGTGAAATGTCGTCTGTGCACTGGGACCTGGACTCCCCTCGCGCAATCAAAACAAGGCTTGATAAAAACGAGCAACGCCACAGGAGGTTTGCACGGTTGCAGACTGTAGAAAGCATTCAGAGTGGCCTCCCCACGTCCCGCACTTGCAGAGAGGGTGTGGCTGCTGCGCTTCCACTGCGCGGCGCCCCGTTGCGTTTACCTGCCCAGACCTTCGCCCCAGACCACCTAGCGAACTTCGTACAGGGCAGCACGTCCGGAACTGCGCAGGCACGGGAAGGCAAGCTGCTTAAAGTGCCCACAGCCGCCACCTACTTCGCCTCCGGCGATGACACCACTTGGAAGAGCCTTCCTGGAGCCAACCACGCCTTGCGCACCGTGCGGAGGTAGCAGAGTATGAACCAGCACATCATGCAGCTCTGTGGGAGCGTGCCTCTTCTGCATCGGAGGAGCGCCGGCGGTCGAGGCACGAGCGACCAACCAAATCGCTGGTATCCCGCGACCATGGGCGGGTTGGGACTGCAGTCCGCGGCACGCACCAATCCTGCGGCGACTGAGCCTTCGCGCCGCCCCCGTTTCGCGGCCGGATGTGTCGCGGAACTCGAAGGGTCGATCAGCTGCCGCGGCTTAAGACTGCAGCTACTTGACAAACACTAAGTGAAGGCTGTGCCCAATCGGAGTTTAGGAGACTAGCCCCGTTGGTGGCAGCACCACGTGGATTCGCACCTCTTTTTTTCGCGACCGCGTGCTGTTGTCGACGAGCGGGCGGGAGTAGTTTTTAAGCTGTTATAGGCCTGTTACGTCTAGAGTGGTTGCATCAGACATGCCTTTTGCAGACTTGCCTTGGCAATGCCTTGGCTCAAGTGACCGGGTGAAAACATTTGCTCCGTCGAAGCTGTGTGTAGCTGTGCATTGCTTGAGCTGCGACCAACACAGGGTCATCAGCCGTAGCTCGAAGGTGCCATGGCGACAGACGATGCGACGTCAGGGCGCATCTACATTAAAGATCTGCCAGAAACTGGTTCTGATTATGAGGGCTGGCGCTTCAGTTTGAAGAGTCAAATCCTGCGTGTAGCACCGGACCCAGTTGCTGCCATGGCTTATATCAGAGAGCTTGATGATGAATCTGTTTCTTTTGGCGATTTGGCGTCAAACTTGTCCGTAGACGTGAACAAAACAGATGTGAATGTTTTCGCGGCAGTGGTTGCCGCATGTCAGAAGGGAAAGAAAGGACCAGAGATTCTCAAGCTTATACAATCACGTGCACAGTTTGGTTGTGGTCGTCAAGCTGTCCGCATCGTTGACCAGCGGCATTTGCATGAGTCAACACATTTAGCCACGGAGGCTAACACCAAGATTCAAGAGCTCAGTTGTTCTGGATTGTCGGAGCTTGACAGCTACATGGCATCTTTTTCGTTGTATCGCCACCAAATGGGTTCCGGCGAGCATAAGCTCACCAATGCTGGGGGCATTGCGCTTCTGAAGCGCAAGCTCAAGGATATCAAAGAAACGGATGCCACTTCTGCCGTTTTCAATGCCAGCAATTCTGTGGATTTAGACGCCTTGATATATGCCATCAACGGTTTGGTTGCACATCACTCTGAGGAGATTGAGAGGCGAAAAGCACAGAAAAAGGCTGCTGCGGCCAAGGTCGCTGCTGCCACGGCAGCGGGCGGCAAATCACAGGGAGGCAAAGGCAAGAGCAAGAACAAGAAAGGCAATGACAAGCCGTGTGATCATTGTCACAAGCCCGGACACACAGCACAAAAGTGCTAGTTGAATCCAAAGAGTTCCGCGTACAGACCGGACTTCGGCGAAGATCAATGCCTCTTCGTCAAGCGGTGGGGCATCTGCGCCGCCTGGATTGGGGGCAGCGTCCATGGGCGCTCGGCCTGGGCCTGCAGTTCCGGCAGATGTCCTCACCAAAGCGTTTTCGGAGTTTCTCACCAAACCTTTCGGTGGCTCCGCGTGGCTTGCCGATGTCAAGCCTGACGATCTTCAACAGTTTGCAGGTGCGGCATGGGCTCTGGATTCCGGAGCCAGCCAGTTCTGCATCATGGGCGACAATGCCGATGATGCCGTTTGGGAGACAATGCAAAGTGCAGACTGCGATATCGACACAGGCGCTGGCACGGCTCGGCCAACAGCTATGGTGGACGCCATGGCTCCGCATCTCGGGCGTCGCTCGGCTATGGTGATGCCGGACTCTAAAATCAACATGGCGTCGATGGGCGAAACTTGCGCCGAGCTGGGGTATCATTTCTACTGGCCCGCATGGTCTGAGCCGCCACATTTCTGGCGCGACGGTGTTTCCAGCGAGGTGCCGCTCACCATGGTCAATCGCGTCCCGTTTCTATTGAGCGCAGTCGATGCTGGCCCGGCAAGATTGATTGAGGCTGCAAGCGACACAAACTTGAACGATTTCTTCGCTCACATGTTTCGGGAGTTTTGCTTGACGCTTGGTGAGACAGAGCTCGCTAACCTTTCGGTTCCCCTTGCATTGGCGACGCAGTCGCAGCCTGCGGATCAACATTGCTTGGCTCACTACCCGAAGGACCCCACCTGCGAAGTGTGCTTGCAAGCAAAAATGTGTCGAGCTCCAGCGGCTCGCAAAAAGCAAGCTGTCGAAGATGACAAACAGTTCGAGTTCACGGGGAACGCATTCACTGTGATCTTGTCGGCCCTACACGCCCCAGCATCAATGACGAGGTGTATGCTATGATTACGCATGATGATGCAACGGGTACCCGGCAGCACGTGCTTTGCGCACCAAGCAGGCTTCCGAAGCCGCTGCCGCTTTCGACGACATGTATGGGAACCAGTCAGTGTCTTCAGTCCGGACGGACAATGGTGGCGAGTTCCAGGGCGAGTTCGCCGCCAAACTCAAGGAACGGAAAATCAGACACGAACGTTCCTTGCCACGTCAACCTCAGACAAATTCCCGTGCTGAGCGATTCCACCGCACAGTTGCGGAAGGCATGGCTTGCCTTTTTGTTGCGTCTGGAGTCCCGTATGCTTTCTGGACGTTCTGTCTCATGGCCTTCCACTTTGTGTATGCGCGCAGCCCGGGTGCAGGTGGTGCTGACTCACCCTACCAGATACGCTTCAATCGTTCTTATGATTTAAGCAAGTTGCGTCCATTCGGCTCTGCGTGCTACTACCTGCCAGAGGAACATGAGAAGTTTGCATCTCGTGGACGGCTTGGTGTGGTGTTGGGGTATAGCCGCTTGCAGTCATACTACGTCCTGGATTTCGAACATTATGTCGAGACGAAGGGCGAGGCCCGGATTGTGCACACACATGATGCGCGCTTCCCCCCTCAGGTGCGCTGGCCATTTCACGAGCTGGGCATGGACAACCCTGATGCGGCATACTGGGCCCAACGTTTGTTCGAACCGGAGGTGTTGCAACCAACGCCCGCTGCTGGAGATGACGGCCGATGTGTACTTTGCGGCTTGTGGGCCACTGATGCGGACATCCACTGCCGTGGATGTTTGCTTGGCGGTGGTCGTCGTCGGCATGTGGATGGTCCCGGCTGCCTTCGTGCTCGATGTGGTGGTCATGCGTTCCTTGACGTTCAGCCCCCTCCGGACTCGCCCGAGACGAGCATGGACTATTCCCCAAGCACTCCACGCAGCCGTGATGGGGGCGTCATCGACTCCTCCATGGATTCGTCAAGCTCCAGGTTTTCGACATCGCATGACGCACACGATGATGATGACATGGGCCCACCGCCTGACGATGAAGGCGATGGACGTTGCCATACGGATGCCTCGCCACGCAGGCCGCGCTGGCGAGCGGACTTGTTCGCTGATGCACAAATGCCTCCCGAACACAATTATGGCCCCCATTTCGATGACAGCATGGATAGTGGCCTAGTGCCGCCTCGCCCGACTTAGCGCCATCAACTCCGCTGTCAAACCAGGTTGCCGCCGATCTTACATCTTCATCCGGGCGATCTCGGTCCCACCGCGGGTCGCATCCATCGGATGCGGATTCGGAGCGCGCTTCTCAAAGCCCAGCTGTTGCGCAGAATCCCGTGTCAAGTTCATCTCCATCCCAGGTTGGATCACACCCATCAGATGCGGATTCGGAGCGATCCAGGCCGGCTTCCAGCAGTCACAATCGGACCAGCACGGAGGTACGGCCAGACGGCATACACAGTTCGGACGCTGATTCGGAGAGATCGCAGCAACCAACCAATGATCTCGACAATGCAGCTATTTCCTCCACGGTGACGTTTGAAAGCGATCGATCTGGGCTCAGCACAGTTGTTCGTGGTGGGACGGTTCTCACAACGCCTGCAGCACTTAGGCTCGAACAGGAGCTGGACAAGCTGACAACTGAGCTGGGGAAGATGTTCGCTTGCGTCACCAAGATCGTCAAACGAAGAGATCCAGAGTGGGACACAAACGCTGCGCGTGAAGCTATCCGCAAAGAGGCGGCAAACCACGCGTCGAAGCGGACATGGGAGTTTGAGGCATGTGAATGGGAAACCGCTGTGGCCAAGTACGGCCCTGATGTGGAGCACGTGCAGGCAAACCTCATCTTGGAAAGCAAGCACTACGAACTCGATCAATCCCAGCACCGATTCAAAGCTCGCATAGTCGCACTCGGGGACAACGTTCGCGACATTTACTGCCGGCTTGTGGAGGAAGACCAATTGCACGGTCGACCCATCACGCTTGAAGGATCACGGGCGCTAGATTGCTATGCCGGTTTGCAGCCTGACGGCGATTGTCAAACTGCTGATGCTGATGGTGCCTATTTGCAAGCTCGACTCAAAGATCGTCCGAAGGTGATTTGTTTACCAAGAGAGTTTCGCACACAATCCGAACTGGAGATGTGCTGTCCTGTGCACTTGTTGTACATGGCCATCTATGGCCTCACACGTTCAAACAGCGATTGGGAAGATCATGCTGACGACCGGTTGTTGCTTAAGCATTGGCTGCAAGCAGGCTGCAAGCTCGTGACATTGAGCGCCCGATTTTCAAGAAGGAATATAACGGGCACATTGTGGGCATGGGCCGTTTCGTCGATGATTTCAAGCTGGCGGGACACAAACCCGTGTTACCACATGCATGGGCTGAGATTTTCGAATGTTTCGATTTCGCGGACCCGCCTCAACCTGTCAGCCGATTTGTCGGCTCCGAGGAAATCTTATCGCGCGACCATGCGGATGTTGCCACATTTCTAGTGAAGCAGGATGCGCACATCGACACCCCAACGAGAAAGTACATGGATGAGATTGGTGCATACAGACTTCCACGATACGACACTCCGGCTGTGAAGCTCGCAGCCAATGATGTTTCAAACATGAGCGAGACAGGTCAGTTTGCATCAAATTGCGGTTCCTACGTAGGGGCTGGATTGTGGGTAGCGAGGAACAGTCGCCCTGAGATCTCATTTGCTGTCGGGTGGTTGGGTCGGTACACCACAAAATGGACAAGAAGACAGGATGCTGCCTTGCATCGTTTGATGGGGTATTTGGCGGCGACTAGGTCCTCCGCACTTAGATTGGTTCTCAATCCTGTTGATGTGCAGCAACGCACTCTGAAGCTGGTATTGTGGGTCGATTCTGATTGGGCGACGGATCCCGATACCAGGCGATCGACATCAGGAGCCGTTTTGCAACTTGTTGGGTCGCACGGCGCTCGCGCGACATTTGCTTGGCGATCGCATCGTCAAGGTGCGACCGCATTGTCGGCACCAGATGCTGAAGTGACGGCCATGGCTGAAGGTCTCAAGCGCCACGGGATTTATGCACAAGATCTTTTCGAGTTTTTGCTGGGATACCGAGTTCCATTAGACATCATGACCGATTCAGCAACAGGAATCGCAGCAATCGATGACGCATACGGCGTCCTCAAGTACATGAAGCGAACGCAAGGTGTGCCTTTGTCACGGTTGCATGATGTGAGCATGGATCCCGACAACAACATCAACAAAACCAGCACCGACGATAACCTTGCTGATGTCATGACGAAAGCATTGGAGAAGAACAAGTTCCAGCATTTTCACGGCTCTTGGGAGTTCACCCGCATGGTTGAAATTGACATGCTTTGCTCGTCTCAGCATGGTTGAGCATGACTTTGAACGAGTGATTGACCGTTGATTGAATTTTCATGATCATGCGCATGTATTGCTTGATTTTCCGCATGATTTCACGGTTGATTTTTTGATTTCATGGCTGATTTCTTGATTTCCAGTTGTACGAACCTTGCAAGTTTTCTTGGCTGCTGACTCGCTCTGCGAAATCAGTTCTGAGCAGCAACCAACGTACCAGCCGCATGCCATCAGCACTACTGTACAGCCCACAGTGCTTGCAGATTTTGGCACTCTCGGCAGTCAGTACACAAGTCTGTGCACTCTGATTCCATTTTCTGCTTGCAGACTTTAGCAGTTTCTGCAGTCAGCACACAAGTCTGTGCACTTTGATGCCATTTTCCAGTGATGCCATGCTCGGCATGGGGGCGTTGTGTGGGCAGTTTAAATACTTGCTCACTGAACGTGCCTCGCATGTCACGCAGAGTCACTCTAAAGTGATTGCATCAGACATGCCTTTTGCAGACTTGCCTTGGCAATGCCTTGGCTCAAGTGACCGGGTGAAAACATTTGCTCCGTCGAAGCTGTGTGTAGCTGTGCATTGCTTGAGCTGTGACCAACAAAGCCTGTTAAGCCCCATACAGACCACATTTGCTTTTGTTATACGCACATTTTTTCGACTGCAAGTCAAACGGCCGTCTAGGTCCCTATGCAACCTGCGGCCTACGGCGCCAGGCAAGTGGGAGCTCTAAGCGCGGGCAGGGAGGCGGCTGGGCTGTGGGGCCTCCTGCCAGCGAGCATCCGCAAGGAGCTCGTGCAGGGGTGGGCCAGCAGCACAAGGCTCCGAGTAGAGGGGAAGCTCCAAGAAGGTGGCAGAGAGCGCGTGCTGCGCAGCGACGGAGGTGAGTCCGCTCCAGCGGAGCACCCATGCGGCTTGGGCAGAGCTGCGGACCGCGGCAGGGTAACCGTCAGCACGTGCCTCCTCGGCCCAGCGTGCGCCAACCTCGAGCCCGAACACAACGAGGCGGCAGCGGCGGCTCCGATCGAGCTCCGGGTACGTATGCCGTCGCTTGCGCTGGGCGGCATTGCGCACGGCCCAGCTAGGGCGGGTGTCTGCTCCCTCGTGCGGCCGTCCATCGCGGGTTACCGGGCTGACAAGGGTGGATGAGTTGTGCCTCGTGCCAAAGCGGCAAGCTGTTGCAGACGGCCTCGATGCGCCGCCCATCGTAGACCGGTACATCGAGGTTCATGGCGGACAGCGAGACGTTGCGCCCGACACGCCCCCCGGCTTCTTTGCAGACACGGGCGATGGCGCGTACGAGGGGCAAAGCTGTGGAGCATGCGGCTCGATGGTCCACGTAGGCATCGAGTGTGCCGCGGCAGAAGCAACTGCGCGGGCCAAGCGGGGGGGGCAGGCGCAAGGCGCCGCAGGAGCAGCACGCGGAAGTGCGGCGAATCAGCGACATCACGCCAAATCGGCGGTGGGCCAGGCGTTCCTTCCGGCTGTGTGGCGGCGTTATTATGACGAGTTGGACCCCGGCTCGTGGCAAACAATGGCCAAGCATTCAGTTTGACACTGCAGGCCCCGAAATTGTATTGTGTGTGCTGCGATATGCTCCCGACTATGCCGTCACCGGCGACTGGCGAAGTGCAGATTGAACTCTGGAGAGCAAAAACACTTCGCAAAACAAAGGTGTCACCGAAAGGAATGGAGCAGTTGGACTACGTTGACTACATGGCCGGGGGCAGGCAGCAAGGCATATTGCAGTACCAAAGGCACACTACGCCATAGACAGGGGAGCAACAAGTTGTAGGCCCGCGCTCGGAAGAAAACAAGCTTTCGCAAGCGAGCGGGAATAAAGTTGACACTGTCAAACGTTGCTTCAGTTGCAAGTTCCAAGCCAAAGTGCACGGGGCTTTCGCGGGTGCTGCGGCGAGAAGCGCGCCTGCAGAAACACGTTGTCAGCCAGCTGCTCAACGTCGACAGCTTCTAGCCCAAACAAATGGGAACCGTAGTCCATGCCCGTCACCACAGTACTGAGCGTGAACAAAGGTCCAGACAGCAGCTCCACATAAGCACGAGCGGGTGTCCACTCACGAACTATGGAAGCGGACACACGTGAGCTTAACATTTGCACCAAAACTCAGCATCGGATGATTGTCAGGGAAAAGACGAACCGACGTCACAGCCTTGACGTCAGCACAACGAGCTCAAGTTCAGAGACCACAAAAATCGAATTGCCCAGTGCTGTGAAATACATTTTTTCCCCCAGCGGACTTTTCGGGCGATCCGCGCGCTGTCCCAGTGCACCTGCGAACTACGGCACAGCACAGAGGCTGCAGCGGCTCAGCGAGCCGGCAGGCAGCTGGGCACAGGCGGGCACGCGTCGTGCAGGACGTCCTGCAGACGCGGTGCATGCGCGCCAGGCATAGGGGCATGGACGGGCGGCGACCGGAGCAAAGTGGCAGCAAGCGTGTTTTGCACAGCCACGCTGAGTAGGCCCCACCAGCGTCTGCACCAGCCCTGGGTGGCAGCCCCTCGGAGCGGAGCAGGGGCTCGCAGGGCATGCAAAAAACGGACGAGCTGCGCGACAAGGCGGAGCGACTCGTCGTTCCAGCGCCCGCCAGTCTCGCACGCGAGCACGCACAGCCTTTGCGGTCCTCGCCGAAGGAGCTCGTGGTAGGCAGCGCGCTTGCGGCGTTCGGCGACGGCCAGTGCAGCACTGTCCCTGGTGGTCGAGGAAGGTTGCGGGCAGCCGTCGCGGGTAAGCGGCGAGACCATGGCTACGTCGCAGCACAGTGCTTCGCCGAGCTGTGTGGCACCATATGCGACGACGTCGAGACGCCGGCGATCATCGGGATCGACACCTGGGGCAGGCGTCCGCACGAGCCACTGTTGCGAGACGATCTGGCCCTCCATCCTGGCTTGGCTCGCCGGGCGAGCAGGCCGGTGCGGGGGCAGGCAGCATAGAACGTCGACCGCGGCGCCGCAGCCGGGTCCATGGGCCCCACATCTGCCTGGTGCGACAGGCAGGGGCAGGCGCAACCGTCGCCGCAAAGCGATGAGCATGCGGTCAGGCGGTATTGTGGTGCCGGCCTCGCTGGGGACGGTGCCGAGCCAAGCGGCAGCGCGCGGCCCAGACTGCAAACGCAGCAGCGCCTGCGCAGGCGGCGCGAGGGCCGGCAGCAACTCGGTGTCGCGAAAACGGGTTGAACAAGCGCGAGAACCGTGATGCTGCCAGCCCTGGCACCGCTCGCCAGGCTCGGGCAGGTCGCATTGGGTCGGTCGCAGGCCGTCATGGATAGCGCTCCACTCGGGCCGACCCTCCCATCCTGCATGGGTGAGGTGGGCGCCAGCGGCAGCGGCGGCGCGCCGGCAAAGCGCGAAGGAGGCTGGTCCGGCTTCGAGTTCGGCCGAACAACGCGCAGCAGCCCCGGGGCGACGCAGCCGCAAAACAGGCAAAGCGCATGGGATATATTAGCTCCTTGCAACCTACGCACGAGCTGCAAAAAATCGGGGTCGTCATTGTCACAGTGCGTTACAGACGGCGCAACATCGCGGGGCGCTGGGGCATGGGAGGCCTAGCTCTGGTTCGCGACCCTATAACTCAGCTCTGCCAGCTGTGCGATGCTGGGCGTCCCTCCCTCTCTGCACAATGCCGTGGCTACCGCTCGGGCCCGGTGCTGGTGGATACAGGGCTTTTCAGCACAGCCCTGTCGGCGGCTGGTCGCGGGTGGCCCGCGGTGTCTCGAGCCTCGGGCAGACGCTCCACGCAGGCAAATTTTCGGGTGCACGGCGGGCGGGCGGCATTTTGCATTCCAGCTCCGATGCACTTGCACTGCATAAGTGCCTATAGCGATACATGTATGACACACGGGCATGGCGCAGTTGTGCTGCCGAGTTGCCATGCCGACATCAAGTTTCGGGGCGGCAAGCGCAGTGGTGCTGTCATCTTGCGATCCAGCTATGCTAGGCGGCCGCTAAAAGCCGGAATCACACACTCCAGGAGTCTCTTATCTGACCTCGACCCGGGTCCTCAGTCGCTGCGTGCCGCATGTGCCGCGGGCCGTGGAAGGGCCTCCCACTGCGCTAGATACCGCTCCGCCACACACGCGTTGCGAGCGTCGCTGCATGTTGACCGATGGCTTCTTCCCGCCTCCCATTGTCATCCCACCAATAATGTGTCCTGATGTGCGCCCGTAGAATCGGCGGACGAATGGTAGCAAACTTGGGGCGACATGTTGCAGGGCCATTAACAACGACTCGCGGGACATTGTGTCAAAGGCCGCCTGGCCGTCGAGGGAGACGGCGCAAAAGCTTTTTGGTGACCCACGCGATTCGAAAATGGAGTTAAACACCATGGCCCGCTGTCCGCCCACAAGCATTTTGTGGACGGTGCGTGTCAAGCACAACGTTCATTGTTGGAAGGATAGACTCGGTGATGTGATGTGGCTCGTTTTGTATATATCCTTTGTTCCATTATAAGCAGCTATTGACCGCAAAACTATTATTTCAGGCAGCCGCCGACCCTGGTCACGGTGTTGGATGACACTCCACCGAGCACAGCGCATGAGTCCGGCGCTTCGAGCCTGTCGCCTCCCCTTTCTCCTGGCGCCGCCACGCCGTCGGCACAGCACCAGCCGCAAAGCCCCCAACCGGTGCACCACACTCCGCCACTCCAGCAAGATGTGCAGACCTGTGCCATATGCCTCGATGCCGTCATGCCGGAGGCAACCGGTTCCGGATCTGGCGTTCTCCATCCCACGTGTAGGCGCCACCGCCTGCACCTCACCTGCCTCGCGCAACAGCGCGCCCAAGCCAGCTCCCCGCATGACATGCGCTGCCCGGTCTGCGCCGCCGAGGGCTGGCCGCCGGCCAACGATGAGTGGCTCCGCACTGCTTGTCTGGCCAGGGGGATAGAGGCGCCCGCACGGTTGCCCGGTGCACCACGAGGAAGTGGGCGCGGACGGAGAGGCCGTGGCCGGGGCGCCCGGGGCCGCGGAGCTCGTGAGCCCCCGCCACCTCCTGCGGACCACTT